AGATTTATGCGTTGAATATTTTATTATGTGAATATGTAGTTAAAAATGAGAATATACAATCGTTTGACTCCCATTCTTTTTCTCTATCTTATTTTCAATACACACTCTTTCATAAAATAATATTACACATAAATAAAAAAAATTTCATTATTTTTCAATTACACATTTTTAAAAAAAATACTATTTCAATAATTAAAATTTGAAAGGAGTGGAGACCAAATGACGGTCAAACACGGGCTTACTAGCAAACACATTTTGCACAAGGCCAAAGGTAAAATCTATTTTTCCTCTAAGAAGGAGAATGCACACGTAAAACTTTTGTTCAGATTCTCGGCTCGCACATCTATTCATGTTTCATGCTTACACATACAAAATTAGGGATTTAAAAGGAAGGGACTTTTCAATTCTGAAAATCCGAGGACTAAATCCATCGTCAATCTGCCCATATCTGGTAATTCTACATCTACATCTACATCTACCTCTTCATCCAACCTCCGTTTCCAATTGATTGCTGATTTAATTATAAGAAATTTCTTATCTCTATGATTGGATAAGTTCAGGGTTTCAATTTCCTGTGGCATAAATTACACACCTTCGTAAGCGGTACACCTCATGAATTCGAGTTGATTTCTTGATAATTTAAATTAAAACAAGAAAATTGGGCCGGAATTTCAGATTGTATAATTCAGATCAGCGAATGAAATTTTAAAATTTTATTTTTGTGACTAGGTGTGAATGGATTTATTATTAATTTGATTTTTTTTTTTTTTTTTTGGTCTTGTCTATTAACTGCACACCTTTTTTAAGTATTATGGGTGTGATGCATTATGTCCCAATTCTACAATGTAAAATCGATCTTCCACGTGTAATTTTTCCCTATGGATGCCATTATATTGAGTCACCCACATTGCTTTGGCTACATATTGGATCATTATGAGAAAGGTGGTATTGGCCATTGGCCATTGGTAATGGCCCTTCGATCACAAAAGTTGCTTTAATGAACTGCATTTTGCTGCAGAAACGTGTTTCAGGCGAATAAAATGTGCATGTGCAGTAGAAACAGGATTTGATGTTTTTGTGTTGCATTAAATTTGTCCCGAAAGTTCATTTAAGTACTGAATTTTTTGAATTTGTAAGGCTAATATAAAAGTTTTTGCTGGAAAAACTCTCATCTTTACAATAGTTAGATTATAATGAAGTATCCATCTTTATTACACTGGATGGTATTTTTTGTCAAAAAAGGCTTCAGAACTTGTTTTGATGCCACTTCAAAATTTAAAGTGACCTTTTGGGTTTTTATTACTTCTTTGTTACTCCTATAACCAATCCCAGAGTATTGCTCTAAGCTACTTTTTGTGTTAAAACCTTGTTTAAAAGAGGTGAATACAATATCTGAACTTGTTTCAACTTATGAGTTGCAACAGCACTTTTGACTAAGTATATTAGCATGCTGCAAATATAGTAGATGGATCTTTTCAAGAGAATATCACACTTGGTTAGCTATTAGGTTTTATTTGGTTCTTTAAGAGGATAGGTCAATGAAAGGATTTCTAAAAACCACAACACGTGCTGTCTCATTGAGAGTTATGATCTTCAAAGACTTACATAAACGGGTCCTTTAATTAAATATTTCGTGGTGTAGAATACCGCTATTCCGAGAACTGGACATTGCTTGTACCTGATAAATCAAGTTCTTCATTGGCTTTCTTCCAATATTACATTATTTATTTTCTTTTTTGTAGGACCAATACTGGGCACCTCCAAACTTTAAAAGGATATTATCTGCCAAATTGAAGCATTTGGCCGCAAATGGAAAACTTATTAAGGTGATTTTTGCCTTTCACCATATTCCCTAATTGTGAAATTATTGTGGGACTGTTTTCCCTGTTTCAAAGCTGCATATTTCCTAATTACTGATAGTCTATTTTCTTTGAATCCTTTAGTTTAATGTCTGTTAGAGTACTTATCTTTGATTTTGAGTCTGCTCATCTTTTACAGATGAAACGGAAATATAAAATAGCTCCAACTTCTTCATTGTCTGAGAGAAGAAGGAACCCTTCTATTTCGCTTGCTGGCAGAAGGCAGGGGATTTCTCTGAGAACTGACCGTGATGATGTCAGTGAGCTCACAAAATCTCAGATCGATTTAGAGCTAGCCAAAATGAGGAGCATGACTCCAGAAGAAGCTGCTGCGGCTGCTGCTCAAGCAGTTGCTGAAGCAGAAGCTGCGATGGCTGAAGCCGAAGAGGCAGCAAGAGAGGCGGAGGCAGCAGAAGCTGATGCTGAAGCAGCACAGGCTTTTGCAGATGCAGCATCAAAGACCCTAAAAGGAAGGAGCACTCCAAGTGTGGTAAGCTCATTATGAGAGTCAATTTATCTTGACCAGACGTCTGTTAAATTTCATGGAGTGGTTCCTTTAGAAGGTTAATTCTAAAATATGAGTTTTTTTCTCTGCAATTCTAGCATCCAGTGCCTTTCATAAATACGTGACGATAGAATGCTAAGAGCATTCCTGTTTTGTGAAAGTTTCTGGTGATTATTTACACCTTGTTTCCTAGTTACATTGTTATTCTTATTAGGGAGTGCTGAAAAGTGAAAACGATGTTTAACAGATGTCATATTTCTGTTTTATTTCCTTATGGAAATGGTGTTTTGAGCCCGACGCTGCAATGGAAAAGCCTATCTCTATCACAATGCAGAACCTATACTAGAACAAAAATCTATAATTATGCGTGCTGGTGCTTGATGCTACTCCCACTACTACATGAAGTAGTTACCAACACTGCTTTTGGCCACCATGACTAGATAATTTTACTATGCATCTTTGCCCAGTGTGATGACTATATATTAAGAGGGCTTTAAAATCTCTACTAATAAGAAAATTTATGCGTCATTGTTCTATCTCATTGCGAATTGATTTTCCACCATGTCTTGTAATGCTTGTATGAAAGACTTGCATACGTGTTGTCTGCATTGCTCCTCCTCAGTTCCTGAATCAATTGATTTTTTTCTGTGCAGAATATGCAAATGATTCATGCGTGATGGAGTTCAGGACAACATTCATAGTAACTTACAGCATTGGTTTGATTGAAACCTACTGAAGTACGTGTATGTCAGAAAGGACTTGTTCTGTCACTGTAAATACGTTGAAGAATGTAATCTCTGTATAATACAGGGAGTGTTTTCATGAGTGAATTCTTGAGATTGGCTGATTATGCTAACCTCTCTTAGACGTTAGCCACTTGTAAGGAAACTACTGCATGTATGCCAGAAGTTCCACATCCGGGCTTAGAGAACGGAAGACTTTTCTAGGATCAGAAGTAGGAGATAAAGGAAGTTTGTAAATAGATGTTGTTCAGCGTTTATTTTCATTGTTGGACCTGAATTGGAAGAAAAGAAGTCCCTCCACTCGGCACGAGAAAAAGGGCATTTGTCTGTGAGCTGCTTTGGGTTGCCTTTGGCTGTCCACATGGCTGCTTTTGAGGTGCCTTCCACGGCCTCATATGCAGTTGCTGCCCTTTCTTTGTAAGCGAAGGACTGAGAACTTAATTTCGTCAAGAGTTTTTCATTTTCTTTTTAAATATCTTTCAGTTTTTCACAATTTTCTTAGCAAATAAAGCTTTTCAGTATTTTAACTGCTGTTTATTCCTAATATATGATGGCTTCTGCATAATCTATATGAACTTATAGTGTATACATTTGTGCATAAGATCCAACCACAAGAAACAAGCTTAGATTTGGTAATGATTTAATTTCGAAGGTATCATACGATTTTATAAAGGTTAGTTATATTTATATAATTGATTTTACTTGTTTCGCTCTTGCTCATTGTAGTACATGTCTTTATACTTTTGTCAATTTTTTTTTATTTTCAACCTTCTATTAATCAACACATCATATCTCTACTAATGGTTCATCTTTCCAAAAGTCCATTGAGAGTCTAAAAAGGCTCACTTGACCTTCATTTTGAAATAAAAAACAATGAAAACAAAAATGCAATAAAAATATTATTTTCTAATTTCAAAACGTGCAAATGGAGTATTTTGATAGAAACTATCATATCATTGATCAATATTCAATCAACTGAAGTCTGAAGATAAAATTTCGTCCAAAAAAAAAAGGCATGGCAGTAAGTGCTATAATAAACAAACAAAGCTCAAAGATGTTGAATGCAATTAAAATGCGATACAGTAAATAAGTAAAATGTTTCGATAATAAAGTTCATAGACAGACCTCGTGTACATTATTTAAAAATGGATCTCGTGGGATGATTTCCTTTGGTGCAATTGCGCAAGAAGTCCCTAGTTTTTCTCCGAATGCACCACCTCCCAATATTTATTTCTCTTTATATTATGCCCCTGTTGGGCTCAAATTTTAATTTGAGTTAAGATTAAACAATTAATATTAATCGCATTTATCATGAGTCCTATAATTTTTCAACCACACATTTCAAGACTTCTATCAAAATCTACTAAAAAATTAATTTTAATCTATATCAAACACATTTATTTTGTTCTTTATTTTAAATTTCTACATAATTATTCATAAACATACACAACCCCCCCCCCCCAACCCCCCAACCCCACCTCTTATTTCACGATCTTTTTCTGCCCCCCCCCCAACACCCCAAACCCTTCATCTTATTTCACGATCTTTTTCTGTTCCTCCACAAATAGCTTGCAAAATACAGTCTACTATTGTAGCCAGGGGCGGATCCAGCACTTTGCGAGTACCCATAGCCTCGCCAGGTGCTGAATCCGTCGAAATGTTCAATTGTCATCGGGACCGTCGGGTAGCAAGCGCAGCCGCGCTGGGTTTGCAGAATATAGAGCCAGAGCTGGAGGGGGAAGAAAGAAGATGAGTTCCATTTTTATTTTTATATTTTTCCTTGGGGCTTAGGCTGATGACTGGAATTGGGCGAGCCTCTTTTTAGTTAAAAAAAAGGCCCAATAAAGGATCCATCATCCATGGTATTAATTTCCCCCAAGCTTAACCACCCAAACTCCGAATCCCCAATATATGAAAGTTGAAACCGGCAGGGCAAATTGAGCAAAGAGCCAAAGACGCAAAGACCCAAACTCAAAGTGCAAACCCTTCCTTCCATTTTCATTTCCATATTTCCATTCGAAGCAGAAGCAGCCGTGGCGCCTCACGCCTGCTAAGTGCGACTGACCTGTGTTTCAACACTGGTTGGAAGTATGCAGTTTTCGGGAAACTCGAGCATCGATCACGAATGTGATTCCTTTTATTCTTTTATCTTGTTTTGAATGTTAGTCTTACTTGATGCGAGATATATGATGATTTTGACATATGTACTCTGTATTGTTTTTATTCTTTGGGGAAAAAAGTCGTGACGGCATGGTTACTTTGTAGTGTTGGTTTGCTTTTATAAGTTCACTAGCCGTTCACTTGGTTAAATGTACAATATCACATTTATTTGTTATTTTAATTGAAATATATGAAAGGAATCATTGTCCTTTTTAGCAAAATCCTTGCAAAAAAATGCTAAATCAAAAAAGAATATTTGAATTAAATGCTGAATTAGAGAGGCGATCAAGTATAAAGCCACAACAAAGAGCAAAAGGGGAAATGTTAAGATTGCAGGATGTGATTAACAAGTAATTTTGGCCATTAGTTTTGCGGGTAACAATGAGTACTGATGTGTTGTCATGGAAAACCAAAGCACCGGCTAATATGAGCTTAGATTACCAGTTCCTATAACATATCTTTCTTGTGATGGAGATTCCCCAAACCTGATTTTTGGTGGCGCATCCCCTCATAGGCACTGCCCTTTGAAGAGGGCAGGGCAAGTTAGGGGCTGAAAAGCTTCTACCCATCTTTTGGGGCACCTCATCTTGCCATTTTTCATTCCCATTAGGCTGAAGTGTTTGGTATTTTCTTCATATAGAAAAGCAAATTAGGAGTTATTACTGAGGTCTGAGAATTGTGATTTTTTAGAGCCTGTTTGGGAGTGATTTTAAGAATTGATTTTTTGACCGTTAGGAGAAAAGTGGGGTCCACCTGTGAGAGAAGAAGTCAAATATGACGGCTGAAATAGTAAAATAACGGTCAAAAAATTAATTTTTTTGGTGAAAAAATCGGGCCCAAACAGCTCCTTAATCAATTCTAATTGAAAATTAAATTGGAGACGGTCGAGGATCAACGGTCAAACTCATCCTCCGCCCTAACTTGACTTTGATGCTGGATTCGCCCTGATTGTAGCTACCGACTCTCAAACTCCTTGTGGAAGATTGCACCCTTTTATTTCATCTGAGGTTAATGATTTTTCTATCCATCTTCATTGGATTTTGACCACCAGAAGACTCGCTCGGTTGTATTGCAGTTTCTATTTAATTTTTGTATCTTTATGTTTTCAGCAATAGGTTTTGATAAGAACTGTTAGTTTCTGTTAAATATTGCTTGGGTAATTGCTTTTGGTAGATTAATAGTTGTTTAAGCTAATTAAAGAAGCAGGTTTATACAATATTAACTTGTGGAGGATTTGTAGTTGTTATTTAGTGGCGGGCAGTTGACAGGCATGGCTCACCATTGCCCCCTTTTAACCCTTTTCATTTTTCTCGTTATGTCGAAGTTCTCTTAATAAAAATTATAGGATGCCTAAATCAGAAAAAATGTAAATCAATTTGTAGTTGTGCGAATTTATCATGGGCCTATTTATAATATCAGATACGCTTGTAGGTGCTTATAATTATGGCTCACATTATGAATACACATAAATATGGTACATGTAATCTCGGGTACCAGTTGTGAAAAACATGGACAAAATTCCAGCGGCTTGCGCCATGGACTGGAGTATTGAGCTTGACAAGAGTCTCCGTTCCAAAAAACCCGGTAACTATTGAAAAATTATTTTTTTACAGATTTCTTTCTATTATTTGGTTTTTCTGCTGGAAAATTATTTTTTTACAAATTTCTTTCTAGTATATTTGGTTTTACTGTTTTCATTTAATATTAATTGAATTTATGCAGGTAAATCAATTGAAGCCATAAAAGACATCGGTTCCAGGCTTGAATGGTGGAATAGGGATTCAAAGCTAACAGCTGCAGAATACAAAATTTTCAGCTTAATCCCTGGCGAAGAGAAGCTTTTTTTGAATGCGATTTTTCTGCGTTTGGCGGATGCATTTAGGTTAGGAGATAAAAATATTAAAAGTTGCATTGTAAATATTTTTCTATCCCTGCGACGGAAAAGGAGGAGAAGTGCTGTTAAGGATGATGATTGTAGGATCTTGAGCAAGAGTAAATTAGAGAATTACATGGAGTTGTTGAGAAGAGTAAAGGTAGTGTTTGATACTGGGGATGTAGATCAAAGATCGATGGCTTTGATTTTGTTTGGTTGCTGGGCAGATTTTGCGAAAGATATTGCTGATATACGATACATTGTGCTATCGAGTTTTTATTATTATTTTTTGATGTGTATTGTGATTTTGATTGACCACTTTCTGGACCAAAAATTCATGCCACAACTCCTCATTGATCTCTGTGTATGTAACTGGTTTTTTCTTCGAATTTTGTATTCATGGAGGAAAAGAAAAGTGAATAAATTGTAGGAAAAATCAATTCCCCTTGCATTTTTATTTTTAATAAATCCTACTGTTTTGCCATTATCTTTTTATTAATTTCCCTACAATAAGTTATCTTCTCCTGTAATGAAAAATGTGTCATAAATATGTGCCGTCCATGCTCTCAATAATTGGCTTCTCTTTTTTCTTGATTATAAACTGAACCTACATTATGCAATTATATGCAGGTGAAGGCCTCATTGTTTGCTGCAGGATGCTTAAGTGAATTGTCGGATGACTTCGCTAATGTTTTCTTGGAGATATTGACCAGGATGGTGACATCATTGGAGATACCAAGAGCTGTAAGGTTAGCAGGAGTGAGAGCTTTTGCTAAACTGTGGTGCCCATTGTCACTTGCAGATAAAGCTTACAAGGTTCAGTATTCTGCTTACTTTTAGTTTATTCCTTCCAGGCTAGTAGACTCTATCCACATATTATCACGTTATTGTCCTGTTTTTAAATAAAATAAAAATAAAAAGTCTCTTTAAAGGGCATATAGATAGAGAGCACTCAAGTTATTTTTGTTAGGCATCTTGCAGAATTCATGCAGATCAATATAAAATATTATGTGCCTTAACTCAAATCTTTTATGAAATGAAGATGTCCCATGGTAAATGTAACAAGCATATTATTTCTACATCTAAAAGAACATGTGGACAGTTAGAGCCACAAGGTTATAATGCAGCTCTTAATGTAATTGCAGACAGGTTTAAAGCTGCTAAAGGGTTCTTTAGAAGATGATTTCTCTGCTGTGATGCTGATTTCACTTTCTAAAATTGCTTCTAAGTGGACGCTTCTAATCTCTGTACAGGTATCTACCTTGCTTATCTACTTCCCCTATAAATTAAAGAACAAAAAATCAGTCAAAATGAATCACTTTTTTTTTTTTGGTCTAAATGAGTGTATCCTTCAGCAAGGGCGGACCCAATGGGTGTCCTGAGGGGTCACGTGACCCCCCAACTTTTGAATTATTTATTTATTTATTTGGGATAAGTTCTGCTCTAAATCAAGGTTAATAATTAATATAGTAACATATTTCAAAGAATTCTTAACTTTATAACTTTTATCAAAATTTACTAAAAATCTGATTTTAGCTCCCATCAAATAGGGGCAAAATCACAATAAATTTGAATTTTTCCTTTCTCTTCCTCTATCTTACCCTTCTAATTTTTTAAAATTTGTTTATAGTTTTTCTACAAATTATCACATCTACTACAAATTTTCACTTTTTAATCAAATTTTTAATTAATTAGAACATGAATATGCATTTTCTTCCATCTTATTTGTGTACATAGAATGTGTCTGTACTGATTATATCCAATTTAATTTATATTTAACCAATTGTATTAATTTAATTGAATGGTTATATGTTTTTCCTTTTGATCACTTGACTTAATTGTTTGTATTAAAAACATTATAAAGTTTTTAAACGTAAATATGAATTTTCTAGTGATGAGCAAAATATTAATAAAATGACTCTTCGAAATCAAATGGATGAAAATGATGAGCAAAATATTAATGAATAAATGTTTTTCAAATATAAATATGCATTTTCTCGGGTCTAGTATAAATCATTCAAAAATTAATAACAAAGTATTCAATTTGTACAGAGTTTAACTAAAAATATCTGCGTCTGCCCGTTCGAAAATCTTCAATGCAATCTCCATTTAACCAACTATGATTGGAAAATTTGCTCTCTGATGTGGTGAATTATTTATAGACAGTATATATATATATATATTTTTTTTTTTTTTTAGATTTTGTGTTCTTTCTTGACACATTTTTTTCTCAAAATTGCTAATATCTATTTCTTGCCTTTGGTTACAGATTGAATTGCTTACCTCATTTGTAAGTGAAGAGCGATCTTTGGATTTCCTAGCTACAACATTAAGATGTCTTAATTTCACATTAGCAAAGGGAGTATGTGATTTTCCGTCAGCCATGGATGTTGTCCATAAATTATTAATTATTATGAGTGGATCTGAAATTTCAGAAGCACTGCAATTGGAAGCTTTAGAAATCTTGCATAAGGTCTTCCCCGTGTTAGCTTTCTTGAGTTCATGATCACACTGTTTTCTTAGCAATTCTGACATTTGAATTTTGCAGATCCTTCTCTATGGTTCATCCACAATTCCTTGCATGGAGATGCTTGAGATTTTTCCAAGCCTGTTGACAATTGTTGAGAATATGGTACGGTCTTCCTCTAGGTCCAATAGAGTCTTAGCCTTTAGGATTCTAGCTGATCTCTCTGGCAAGATTCTGAGAAGAGCAGATATAGTCCCAAGTGAAATTGGTTGCACTCTAGCATCGCAGGTGATTTCATTTGTTTTAGATTGGATCTCTTTGATGGTAAGGTTGGAGATGGACGCTCATAAGCCTGACTTGGAAATGGAGCTTGAGGTTAAAAGCTTTCTTAACCTTTTAGTTAACCTGGGTGAAAATCATTCATATCTTTGTTGCTTGGTGCTAAATAAAATCTGCATATTTATAGATAACCTGATCAAGGAACTCGACAGAGTTGTAAGGATAGAGAAAACTGACTTGCCAGGTCATGATGGCACAGAGTTTGTCAAAGGAAGCAAAACATTTTTCATTTCAAAAGTCATGCTCTATGTATCGAAAGTTGTGGTTGTTTGTATACAAAACCTAGATGAAACTGATGCTGGAACAAGCCAAGTTTTTAGCGGGTTGAAGAATCAGATAGAACATGTATGCCAGTGCACCTCTTTTGATAACTATATCCATACGATCTACTGGCATTTATTACACTTTTGCACCATCCATAGTTGCATTTGCAGTGAGAAACAGGAATTGATGAGTCTTGATAAAACAATTTCGCTTTCTAGTGTTGATTCCGTTATTCAGCTTGATATCCTTACTCTTGACTGTGCAAAGATGATGTTAGGAGGAAAAAGTTATTGGTCATCTTATAAAGCTGGAAAACTTGCAGTCTACCAGGGAGCATGGTCTACAGCTGCTTTCATTTTTGAGCATATCCACACCATGGTTCAGTCTACTGCCTGCTCCCGCTGGTTGAAATCCTTGGCTCAGTTCTCTCACAGTGAAAAGCAGATTCAATCGTTCTTCATACCCGGACGAGACTCTTCTAACCTAAACCATTCTACTGTAAAAGGAGATCCATTTCTCCCTTCTGAACCTGATGGAGGTAAAAGAGAAGGCACCTTCTGGAAGATCAATCAGTGTAACTCAATTGAAAATCTTATCAGGGCTTGTAGTAGTCTTTGCTCTGCCGAGGAAACACTTGGGGATTCTGGTATGGGATTCTTGTTCGGTTTCCAAAGATGGTTTCTGTCCCTTAGAGCAAAGCTCCTGGCAACTGTAGTAGATATAATGAAGTTATTGAATACGATTTCACTTGTTCAATATAGCAGTAGCCCCTCAGGAAAAGGGGAGGGAACAGATCCAGTTTCAGGCTTGAGTTTCTTACAAAGACTCAGCTCCTTGGTTGATTCTTTCACGGAGGTCTCTCGCCGGATGAACAAATTAACTAGAGAATTTGATTTATTTGTAGCATCTTTCATTGGCATGGACAGACAAAGTGTTATTATTGTTTCGGCACTTGCATTGAGTTGTTCATTGATGGCCTTCAGTGCTGGTTTTGTCTATCTCATCCCAAACCTGCAGTATTCAGAGAATTTTAGAACTTCCAACTCTGAATACCTTGAGGAGTCTTTCCATGCTATGCTACTAGAAGATGTAGTCGGGAGGTTGAGGCAAATAGACGGCTCAACCAGGAATAGTATCCTGTTTCTTATGAAGTCTTTTGGAAAGTCCAAGAGCTGTTTTTCGCCACAATTGAGAAATCAGATTTCAGAGAGTTATGAAACAAGAGTCATGCTCAAACTCTGTGATTATGCCATTATGAGGATTGTTGCCTTAAAAAATGAGGCAGGCCAGATTCAAGGGGGTGAAGGCATGTCTCAAACTATAAATGATGGTTCACAGCTTTTATTGAACATCATTTCACAATGTATTTTGATGCCGTTCCGGACTCCCAAGCACTTTTTTAAAGTAAGGTATGTTGAATAAAGCCATTTATATAGATTTGAAGCCCTGATGTATCCTTTCGAAAAAAAGAAACCCTGATGTATCATGTTTTTCTTCTTGAAAATGTTCTTCCTACACATTTTAGGATAAAGCATTAATGTCACTTATATCCTTTTAAGTGTCAATTTTGTATACTTCCTACAATTTAGGTGGTCAAAATCCACGTTCTCATTGTTATAAGCGGCAAATTTTATGATGACTCTGACCATGAATTTTTATTTCTATGGCTTGTGGCTCACATGTAGACTTTAGTGCATTTCATCGAGTGTCCTAACTTCAAACTGAATGTTAATGTTCTGGATTACCGGCTTTTGATATTATTCTAATATTTGAATCTGTCTTTATTCTTAGGCCTAGTGTTACCTCTGAGCTTTTCATGATGAATGAAGATGGTAAACATGTGGATCGGGTATCTGTTTTTTCAGGTTCCCCCATCTCACTGACTTTATGCCTTCAATTGAGAAACATGCCAGCAGGTCAACCTTTTCGGCTTACCAAATTGTTGTGCATTCTTAGTTGTAGATCATCTTCTCAGATGAAAACAGAAACGGGAGAGAATAAAGGGGAAAAACACTTGGGTAGCCAAGATGGGGGAATTGATGATTTGTTGGACTTGAACGAACAGCTAGTGGGCTATGTTACTGGATCTACAAGGAGATGTAGAATGCATCACAGAGATAACACCGGTGATTTTATGGTGAATCAGTATGTGCATTTTGAACTGAACACACGAGGCCAAGGGTTCTCTACTTGCTTGTTCGATGTTTCTTCTTTTCCACTGGGTTCTTATAGAATCAAATGGCATAGCTGTTGTATCGACAGTGAAGGTTCTTATTGGAGCCTGCTTCCTCTGAATGCTGGCCCTGTGATCACCATACAGGATTGTAAAAGTGGCTGCTGATTCTGCTGAAGTTTGATAGATCTTATAAACTGTCCTAATTCAAAGAGAAGGAACTATCACGATCATTAATTTTATGTAAGTTACCATATTTAATTTCTGATACTTTTATGTGCATCTTCTCTGGCGTATTCCTTTTTGAAAATAACACAAGAAGTTTCCATTGCTGCAGCTTCTGGATGCTCAATTTTTGGTCTAACAAGAACAGCATTCACTCTAGCAGAACATATTTGTACTTTTGAGTTATGATATAAAGAAGCTTGAATTTGCTGAATATGTTATTTTTCATTGTAAACACAATTTTTCCCTTGTGGCACGTACTCTGCATTTTTAAGTGTGGGAAGCTGATTCCATCTTTCCCCTTTACCTATAATTTTATTTTTGGTCCTGAATCTAAGATGACCATGAAGCTGGCCAATTTGCTGTAATTCTTTTTCCTTGTTCATCGTAAATTATTTGCAATTTCCTTTCAATTGTTACAGTCGTTACACACATTCAAGTCACGTTCCTACCATTGTCTTTGCAGCTATTGTGAGCATTAGATATCCTTTTATCCTTCTTAGATTTTTTATTAGATGCCAGTAAAAGGAACCTTGTGTTTATGGAATTCTGTTGTCGCTCTTCATATGCAGTTCTATTTAACTACCACCGTAATTTTATTTTGATATAGTATGATGATGCTTTGTATGTGTTTTGAACAGTTCCTTATTTAGAATGCTAACTGCAAGCTTACACTACAGTTTTGCAGTGTCATGTTTTACCCATCGGAACTGAATTTACATTGTTCTCGTGATTTATTCGACGTTGATTTGATTGAAGTTAATATTTTGCCATGTTTCCGGCCGAGCCTATGAATGGAACTAACGAGTCCACTCTCAGGGTTGCACTTGACCATGGAAAGACCTCAGGAGCTATCAAGTTACACGACCGAAATGTGGTCTGCCAAAAATTTGGAGATGAATCTGTTAAGATTATCGAGCTTGAAGATTAGAATGCCAAGGCTGTTTTTGTTATATTTAATTATTGCCTCATTTTATTTTATTTTATTTTATTTTTGGTGGCATTCGATGGACCAATCCCAGTGACCATCAATGTGGCATTTGAACCAAGTGGTCTTGGAAAATATCTCATAATAGCATCACATGTATATTGGGTCATTCCTTTTAATGGGAATTGAAAAATTCTGCATGTAGGGAATTGAAAAATTCTGCATGTACAGAATTTTAACATATAGAACAAAACCAGAAATCTCATATGGGGTGGGACCCATGTGAGTTTTATATTCAAAAAATTAAACCACTCACACCAAGTGCTGCGAGTAGTCTGTAAGGTTTTTGACAAATCATTTTCTGTACATGTAGTGTCTCATGGGAATATGTCCCCAATTTTGTCGGTGAAGAACAGTTTTGCTGTGATATTAAGGGAGATGCAGTCTTAATATTGGAAGTTCCTGTGGGTGAATAATTTTGCTATCCCTTTTGGAGCAATTAAGTACTAATTAACTGTACAATATGTGTTCTTAGTTGTTTTTGGTTTGATAAGATCAAGACTCACTCTATCAGAACATATTGCACTTAGGAATTTTGATGTGGATGCTTCATATTTAATGATGAAAGTTTGTGTAGGCCAATGTTGTGACATATTTGACATAGAAGGCTAGTTATTTAATTATTGATGTTATATTGATAAAAAATAAAAAGTGAAATTTGTATTTAAAATTTGCATAGTATCTGTTATATGAATAATTTATACTGATTTGAGTTTTTACCTTTTTCGATTAAATGCCTGAATCAAGTTTGAAAGGACGAGTAATACTTAATCGAATTGAGTGTACACATCTGATCTTAACATGCACCCTCTTTTGGTCATAAAATTGCTCGAGCAATTCTTGGACGCTTGATAAATATGAAGTTTACTTTAAAATACAACCAATGTCCGATAATACTCCGTCGGCCATTAGCTTTGCCACATAAAAAACCAAACCGAAGGAGGCAAATAAATCAAATTTTCTTTGTTATGTGCTTTCACATTACCCTTCATTTTCTTTTGGAGATATAGATCATACCGTTAAAGGATTGTATCTTGTTCAATACACGTCACCAGCTAAAACTACTAAACTTGTCTCAAAAGAACAAATAAATTAGACTCCCTAGCATTCATTTGCACGTTAATAGGATCTAGAAAAAATAAAATAAAATCAATGTTACTATACAAAAAGAAATTTTAATTACGCATTTTATTTCAATTAATATCTAATATCATTATTCTCAAGAACTTCTAGAAGATTCCATCAACTCTTTTGATGATAATAATATCTATTTAGTGACATGATATGTTTGAATCTAGAAATAGGTAATCTTTCTAGACATTGAGAAGAAATATAAAGTTTTCTAAATTCTTCTTCGCAGTTTGAAGCGCATGCCCCTTTTATATTATTGGCACTGATAGGGCAAATCTGCGTCACAAAATTCTCCTAGAACCCTACAATCTGCAAATAATTTTTTTTTTTAAGAACCAACCATAAAATAATTAAAAAGTTGAACTAAAAAGAGAGACTATATTAAAAAGCATGAAACGGTTTGAACATGTAGTGAAAAAGTAAAAAACAAGTCGAATACATGGCTATATACAAAAGTTAAGAAACAAGTTGAATTTCAAAAAATGACAAGAATTTGTCATTCATGATAATTTCTTTATAAGTTTTCTTCCGAAGGTGAAATGTTAATTTTACAAGTTGAATTCATATGCTTGAATTGACTATCGGAATCTATCTAAATACTTGGCCGAAGTTGATGCAAAATCAACATTTATAAATCTAATTCCAACATATATTATATTGAGATGTGAAATCCTTGAGTCCTTAAAATTAAAAAAAATCGTTACTAAATTTAGAGGGTGTTTGAGCCTCATTTTTATGAAAAAAAAAGTTTTAGAATAATAGACTGATGGAGAATGTGTCGATGAAAAATGAGGAATTTTTTTTTATTTACGTGTAATATTATTTTAATGAAAAATGTGTGGTTAAAAAAAAGAGAGGAAAATGTATTTTAGAGAATGAGAATCAAACAAATCCTTATTTGGATAATCTGGTTTGTAATTATCATTGTGAAAATTCCCAATATAAATTGAAAACCCTAGAGAAAACTAGGAATTGAAAGAACAATTTTATTATAACCTAGCATTGACTTAATGGGTTGTGCTGTGTGTACACATGGTGTACACACAGGCTTACACCCCCCCTTCATGTGAGGGGGGGTGTAAGGTTGTGTGTACACCATAAGTATTTTCCTTGACTTAATATATAATCAATATCTATAATTTATAGTCTATGTCTATAATCTATATTTATCTAATATATATTAAAATTTATTTTTCTATAATCTATATTATGTATGCTCTTACTTATTCACATTTTTAAATACAATTAGAATTATAAAAAATAGATTGTTGTAGATTCGAACAGAACATTTTACTATCCCTTAATTTTGAAGAACTCTAACATGGAGGAAGACCACGACATAAAATAAGTTTGTTTTATAATGATCTCCATATTGTTTTATAATGATCTCCATGATATTTTATAATATGGTTAAACTCAAGTCTTAACATAAAATTTTCTTCTTTCTTGTTTAATAGAAAGTGAACGGAATTTTATCATAAATTCGATCGGTTTTGGTCACTTTCTGATTTTTCTGTGGCACTGTCAGCCCAATTTTGCTTCTAAAAGTTGATGGTTTTATAGATAATATAGTTGCTCATAAATTTGATGAAATTTATTTGACTTAAAAATTGTAATAAAAATTTAAGCATGAATTAAAAACACCCATCAATATAACGTAATAAGAACTTATTTCAAAAGCCGCCAACAAATAAGGAAATTCTCACTATATAATAAGATATATTAATTTAAGATAATCGAAAAATCACGAAGCTGGAGTAGCTCAGCTGGTTAGAGCGTGTGGCTGTTAACCACAAGGTCGAAGGTTCAAGCCCTTCCTCTAGCGATATCCCTTTTTTTCTTTCTCTTAGCAAGAACACAATTACGGAAAGGGAGAATTGCACCTGGGGCCCCAAACCTTTCAAATTATTGTAGACTAATACACAAATCTTTCATTTTTACACCCACAGTCCAAACATTTCATTTCGATTCCTACTTTGTCAGAAAAAATGTATTCATTTATCGAATTGTGTCACGTTTTACTTCCCATTTCAGTTTCCGTGCAAAGACCTGTAGATCCATAGCATATGAATTTGATAGAACTTGAATTTTCTTCCACGCATTTATCCTCGAATGAAATCAAATGATACAATTGACTCATCATTGTTCGAGTTATGTAATCTCTCAAGTGTGTATTTGTCAACTTGTGTATATTGTGACACTTATAGAATGCCAAATTGGAGAAATCAAACTCTCTGAGTTATTTACATTGACGTGAACACTTAACTTCTCTTCTGAAGACTCAAATTGATGCTGCTATGAGTTTGTATCCTTGTCATCGAAAGGAAAAGCAAAAAGGAAGAAGAAATTTGTAAAAAATAGCAATTTCAGATAAATATGAAGAATAAGGAATTTCTTCGAAATCTTATATTCCAGTTTAAATCTAAACCGTAGCAAGAAAAAAAGTTACAAAAGAACAAAGAGAGAAGTAGGACATCTAATGGGCAGTAGAGTTTGTAAGATCTAGCTCCAGAAAACAGTAGTGTTCAACACAAAAACAGCCATATTTGCCAGAAGGAAGATCTGAATAACAAACAAAGCAGCAAAGCAGAGTAATATCCTATTCTTCCTGCAGCCACCAAACACGGCTTTATCAATATTGATCGCTGCTATTCTTCATCAGGCAATGCATCATCCAGACCTCGTTGTGCAATTCTGTAATACAGAATACCCATTGTTGCCATGCAAGCCCTGCACAAGAAAAGGAGGAAAGATGTTAAGTCGACTTGATGTTCATAAAAGAATTGAATGAGAAAAAAAGAGCAACTGTAACTGCAACATTCAATCTCTATTCTGGAATCTCCATGACATTTTGTTGTTCAACTATAAAATTTGATCAAGTCACCACCAGCATTCAGTGATAGACATCATATTGCAATCAAATTCTTATTTCGTTCAGGATAGATCCTTTATACAGCAAGCCAATTGCACATAAGCATGCAAAGAAGAAATAAAAAAGAAAAACAGCCAAGGGAAAACAAAGGCATAGATTACATTATAGCTATAATTAGGAGGAGTTTCCTTGGATCCATCCTTGAAGATCTATGATGTCTTGTGCGACCTTCAGGTACTTCATCTGCATTCGATGTATCTTTTCGCGGTGGTGCAGTCACTGGTAGAGTCGGCAATGCGCTAGACCAGAAAGGTAGCAATGACCTGAGAATCTTATGGCGGAATGTACCTGCAATCAAGATCAGCAAGTTCATTTTACAAAGTTGTTAAAGAAAAAAAAAAAAGAAAAAAAAAATCATGAAATAGCATCTATAGTACAAAAAAGGCAATCATAACAAAATCAATTTTCTAAGATGAAATTTAAAAAATATGAGAAGCGAACTTAGATATTACACTGGCTGAACATAGAGTTTGAGAACTGTTTATAAGGTTGCATATGCAAATCAAGGTTGGACGACATTTATCCCAATTTTGGGCAGTGAATTGGGCTTATCTAACATGTCATTTAGTGTCCTATTTTCCATACAATAAGCCGTTCAAGCCTGGGGCATACAACACTTGATATCAGATGCTATTATCCCCAGAACGCAATGGGCCATGAGAACCAAGCTATTCCTCTCCATATCACGGATGGCATTCATGTATGTCACAGTGAGAGTGAAAAATGATTGGGCATTTACTCTAAGGTTTAATTTATAACCCAAAAATTGGATAGCAAACATCATCAAAAGATCACAGAATGAATGACCTTCACCCACCTCTTCGAGTGTACTTCTTCTGGTTCCCATCTTCATCATCTGCATAATATAAAGCCTCAGAATTTTGCCTCTCAACTTGGACAGCATTTTTTCGTGTCATGGCAACAGGCTGTGTGCAAATAGATCAGAAAACTATACGCAGAAACACACCACGTAGCATATAGAGGCGAACATAGTTAAAATAAAAAATAGAAAAAATAAAGGATTATTCTTACAGCAGTAGGACTTGTGTTTTTCATGAAACTGTGCTCATGATTAGACAGTGATGACGTTGCTGAGGCAGGCCCATCTATCTCCACAATCTCCAAATGTGCAGGATTTGTAGAACCAGTCCTGGTAGAAGCCACATCTTTTCCATCAGCAGAGGCATGCATCAGTGGATCTGAAGCAAACGCAGGTGGAGGACTTCCAGGGCTTGTAGTATTCTTTGCTCTGCCGAGGAAACACTTGGGGATTCTGGTATGGGTATCTTGTTCGGTTTCCAAAGATGGTTTCTGTCCCTTAGAGCAAAGCTCCTGGCAACTGTAGTAGATATAATGAAGTTATTGAATACGATTTCACTTGTTCAATATAGCAGTAGCCCCTCAGGAAAAGGGGAGGGAACAGATCCAGTTTCAGGCTTGAGTTTCTTACAAAGACTCAGCTCCTTGGTTGATTCTTTCACGGAGGTCTCTCGCCGGATGAACAAATTAACTAGAGAATTTGATTTATTTGTAGCATCTTTCATTGGCATGGACAGACAAAGTGTTATTATTGTTTCGGCACTTGCATTGAGTTGTTCATTGATGGCCTTCAGTGCTGGTTTTGTCTATCTCATCCCAAACCTGCAGTATTCAGAGAATTTTAGAACTTCCAACTCTGAATACCTTGAGGAGTCTTTCCATGCTATGCTACTAGAAGATGTAGTCGGGAGGTTGAGGCAAATAGAGGGCTCAACCAGGAATAGTATCCTGTTTCTTATGAAGTCTTTTGGAAAGTCCAAGAGCTGTTTTTCGCCACAATTGAGAAATCAGATTTCAGAGAGTTATGAAACAAGAGTCATGCTCAAACTCTGTGATTATGCCATTATGAGGATTGTTGCCTTACAAAATGAGGCAGGCCAGATTCAAGGGGGTGAAGGCATGTCTCAAACTATAAATGATGGTTCACAGCTTTTATTGAACATCATTTCACAATGTATTTTGATGCCGTTCCGGACTCCCAAGCACTTTTTTAAAGTAAGGTATGTTGAATAAAGCCATTTATATAGATTTGAAGCCCTGATGTATCCTTTCGAAAAAAAGAAACCCTGATGTATCATGTTTTTCTTCTTGAAAATGTTCTTCCTACACATTTTAGGATAAAGCATTAATGTCACTTATATCCTTTTAAGTGTCAATTTTGTATACTTCCTACAATTTAGGTGGCCAAAATCCACGTTCTCATTGTTATAAGCGGCAAATTTTATGATGACTCTGACCATGAATTTTTATTTCTATGGCTTGTGGCTCACATGTAGACTTTAGTGCATTTCATCGAGTGTCCTAACTTCAAACTGAATGTTAATGTTCTGGATTACCGGCTTTTGATATTATTCTAATATTTGAATCTGTCTTTATTCTTAGGCCTAGTGTTACCTCTGAGCTTTTCATGATGAATGAAGATGGTAAACATGTGGATCGGGTATCTGTTTTTTCAGGTTCCCCCATCTCACTGACTTTATGCCTTCAATTGAGAAACATGCCAGCAGGTCAACCTTTTCGGCTTACCAAATTGTTGTGCATTCTTAGTTGTAGATCATCTTCTCAGATGAAAACAGAAACGGGAGAGAATAAAGGGGAAAAACACTTGGGTAGCCAAGATGGGGGAATTGATGATTTGTTGGACTTGAACGAACAGCTAGTGGGCTATGTTACTGGATCTACAAGGAGATGTAGAATGCATCACAGAGATAACACCGGTGATTTTATGGTGAATCAGTATGTGCATTTTGAACTGAACACACGAGGCCAAGGGTTCTCTACTTGCTTGTTCGATGTTTCTTCTTTTCCACTGGGTTCTTATAGAATCAAATGGCATAGCTGTTGTATCGACAGTGAAGGTTCTTATTGGAGCCTGCTTCCTCTGAATGCTGGCCCTGTGATCACCATACAGGATTGTAAAAGTGGCTGCTGATTCTGCTGAAGTTTGATAGATCTTATAAACTGTCCTAATTCAAAGAGAAGGAACTATCACGATCATTAATTTTATGTAAGTTACCATATTTAATTTCTGATACTTTTATGTGCATCTTCTCTGGCGTATTCCTTTTTGAAAATAACACAAGAAGTTTCCATTGCTGCAGCTTCTGGATGCTCAATTTTTGGTCTAACAAGAACAGCATTCACTCTAGCAGAACATATTTGTACTTTTGAGTTATGATATAAAGAAGCTTGAATTTGCTGAATATGTTATTTTTCATTGTAAACACAATTTTTCCCTTGTGGCACGTACTCTGCATTTTTAAGTGTGGGAAGCTGATTCCATCTTTCCCCTTTACCTATAATTTTATTTTTGGTCCTGAATCTAAGATGACCATGAAGCTGGCCAATTTGCTGTAATTCTTTTTCCTTGTTCATCGTAAATTATTTGCAATTTCCTTTCAATTGTTACAGTCGTTACACACATTCAAGTCACGTTCCTACCATTGTCTTTGCAGCTATTGTGAGCATTAGATATCCTTTTATCCTTCTTAGATTTTTTATTAGATGCAAGTAAAAGGAACCTTGTGTTTATGGAATTCTGTTGTCGCTCTTCATATGCAGTTCTATTTAACTACCACCGTAATTTTATTTTGATATAGTATGATGATGCTTTGTATGTGTTTTGAACAGTTCCTTATTTAGAATGCTAACTGCAAGCTTACACTACAGTTTTGCAGTGTCATGTTTTACCCATCGGAACTGAATTTACATTGTTCTCGTGATTTATTCGACGTTGATTTGATTGAAGTTAATATTTTGCCATGTTTCCGGCCGAGCCTATGAATGGAACTAACGAGTCCACTCTCAGGGTTGCACTTGACCATGGAAAGACCTCAGGAGCTATCAAGTTACACGACCGAAATGTGGTCTGCCAAAAATTTGGAGATGAATCTGTTAAGATTATCGAGCTTGAAGATTAGAATGCCAAGGCTGTTTTTGTTATATTTAATTATTGCCTCATTTTATTTTATTTTATTTTATTTTTGGTGGCATTCGATGGACCAATCCCAGTGACCATCAATGTGGCATTTGAACCAAGTGGTCTTGGAAAATATCTCATAATAGCATCACATGTATATTGGGTCATTCCTTTTAATGGGAATTGAAAAATTCTGCATGTAGGGAATTGAAAAATTCTGCATGTACAGAATTTTAACATATAGAACAAAACCAGAAATCTCATATGGGGTGGGACCCATGTGAGTTTTATATTCAAAAAATTAAACCACTCACACCAAGTGCTGCGAGTAGTCTGTAAGGTTTTTGACAAATCATTTTCTGTACATGTAGTGTCTCATGGGAATATGTCCCCAATTTTGTCGGTGAAGAACAGTTTTGCTGTGATATTAAGGGAGATGCAGTCTTAATATTGGAAGTTCCTGTGGGTGAATAATTTTGCTATCCCTTTTGGAGCAATTAAGTACTAATTAACTGTACAATATGTGTTCTTAGTTGTTTTTGGTTTGATAAGATCAAGACTCACTCTATCAGAACATATTGCACTTAGGAATTTTGATGTGGATGCTTCATATTTAATGATGAAAGTTTGTGTAGGCCAATGTTGTGACATATTTGACATAGAAGGCTAGTTATTTAATTATTGATGTTATATTGATAAAAAATAAAAATTGAAATTTGTATTTAAAATTTGCATAGTATCTGTTATATGAATAATTTATACTGATTTGAGTTTTTACCTTTTTCGATTAAATGCCTGAATCAAGTTTGAAAGGACGAGTAATACTTAATCGAATTGAGTGTACACATCTGATCTTAACATGCACCCTCTTTTGGTCATAAAATTGCTCGAGCAATTCTTGGACGCTTGATAAATATGAAGTTTACTTTAAAATACAACCAATGTCCGATAATACTCCGTCGGCCATTAGCTTTGCCACATAAAAAACCAAACCGAAGGAGGCAAATAAATCAAATTTTCTTTGTTATGTGCTTTCACATTACCCTTCATTTTCTTTTGGAGATATAGATCATACCGTTAAAGGATTGTATCTTGTTCAATACACGTCACCAGCTAAAACTACTAAACTTGTCTCAAAAGAACAAATAAATTAGACTCCCTAGCATTCATTTGCACGTTAATAGGATCTAGAAAAAATAAAATAAAATCAATGTTACTATACAAAAAGAAATTTTAATTACGCATTTTATTTCAATTAATATCTAATATCATTATTCTCAAGAACTTCTAGAAGATTCCATCAACTCTTTTGATGATAATAATATCTATTTAGTGACATGATATGTTTGAATCTAGAAATAGGTAATCTTTCTAGACATTGAGAAGAAATATAAAGTTTTCTAAATTCTTCTTCGCAGTTTGAAGCGCATGCCCCTTTTATATTATTGGCACTGATAGGGCAAATCTGCGTCACAAAATTCTCCTAGAACCCTACAATCTGCAAATAATTTTTTTTTTTAAGAACCAACCATAAAATAATTAAAAAGTTGAACTAAAAAGAGAGACTATATTAAAAAGCATGAAACGGTTTGAACATGTAGTGAAAAAGTAAAAAACAAGTCGAATACATGGCTATATACAAAAGTTAAGAAACAAGTTGAATTTCAAAAAATGACAAGAATTTGTCATTCATGATAATTTCTTTATAAGTTTTCTTCCGAAGGTGAAATGTTAATTTTACAAGTTGAATTCATATGCTTGAATTGACTATCGGAATCTATCTAAATACTTGGCCGAAGTTGATGCAAAATCAACATTTATAAATCTAATTCCAACATATATTATATTGAGATGTGAAATCCTTGAGTCCTTAAAATTAAAAAAAATCGTTACTAAATTTAGAGGGTGTTTGAGCCTCATTTTTATGAAAAAAAAATACATTTTAGAATGGTATATTGATGTGAAATATGTCATTGAAAAATAAGGAAAATATTTTTATTTACGTGTAATATTATTTTAATGAAAAATGTGTGGTTAAAAAAAAGAGAGGAAAATGTATTTTAGAGAATGAGAATCAAACAAATCCTTATTTGGATAATCTGGTTTGTAATTATCATTGTGAAAATTCCCAATATAAATTGAAAACCCTAGAGAAAACTAGGAATTGAAAGAACAATTTTATTATAACCTAGCATTGACTTAATGGGTTGTGCTGTGTGTACACATGGTGTACACACAGGCTTACACCCCCCCTTCATGTGAGGGGGGGTGTAAGGTTGTGTGTACACCATAAGTATTTTCCTTGACTTAATATATAATCAATATCTATAATTTATAGTCTATGTCTATAATCTATATTTATCTAATATATATTAAAATTTATTTTTCTATAATCTATATTATGTATGCTCTTACTTATTCACATTTTTAAATACAATTAGAATTATAAAAAATAGATTGTTGTAGATTCGAACAGAACATTTTACTATCCCTTAATTTTGAAGAACTCTAACATGGAGGAAGACCACGACATAAAATAAGTTTGTTTTATAATGATCTCCATATTGTTTTATAATGATCTCCATGATATTTTATAATATGGTTAAACTCAAGTCTTAACATAAAATTTTCTTCTTTCTTGTTTAATAGAAAGTGAACGGAATTTTATCATAAATTCGATCGGTTTTGGTCACTTTCTGATTTTTCTGTGGCACTGTCAGCCCAATTTTGCTTCTAAAAGTTGATGGTTTTATAGATAATATAGTTGCTCATAAATTTGATGAAATTTATTTGACTTAAAAATTGTAATAAAAATTTAAGCATGAATTAAAAACACCCATCAATATAACGTAATAAGAACTTATTTCAAAAGCCGCCAACAAATAAGGAAATTCTCACTATATAATAAGATATATTAATTTAAGATAATCGAAAAATCACGAAGCTGGAGTAGCTCAGCTGGTTAGAGCGTGTGGCTGTTAACCACAAGGTCGAAGGTTCAAGCCCTTCCTCTAGCGATATCCCTTTTTTTCTTTCTCTTAGCAAGAACACAATTACGGAAAGGGAGAATTGCACCTGGGGCCCCAAACCTTTCAAATTATTGTAGACTAATACACAAATCTTTCATTTTTACACCCACAGTCCAAACATTTCATTTCGATTCCTACTTTGTCAGAAAAAATGTATTCATTTATCGAATTGTGTCACGTTTTACTTCCCATTTCAGTTTCCGTGCAAAGACCTGTAGATCCATAGCATATGAATTTGATAGAACTTGAATTTTCTTCCACGCATTTATCCTCGAATGAAATCAAATGATACAATTGACTCATCATTGTTCGAGTTATGTAATCTCTCAAGTGTGTATTTGTCAACTTGTGTATATTGTGACACTTATAGAATGCCAAATTGGAGAAATCAAACTCTCTGAGTTATTTACATTGACGTGAACACTTAACTTCTCTTCTGAAGACTCAAATTGATGCTGCTATGAGTTTGTATCCTTGTCATCGAAAGGAAAAGCAAAAAGGAAGAAGAAATTTGTAAAAAATAGCAATTTCAGATAAATATGAAGAATAAGGAATTTCTTCGAAATCTTATATTCCAGTTTAAATCTAAACCGTAGCAAGAAAAAAAGTTACAAAAGAACAAAGAGAGAAGTAGGACATCTAATGGGCAGTAGAGTTTGTAAGATCTAGCTCCAGAAAACAGTAGTGTTCAACACAAAAACAGCCATATTTGCCAGAAGGAAGATCTGAATAACAAACAAAGCAGCAAAGCAGAGTAATATCCTATTCTTCCTGCAGCCACCAAACACGGCTTTATCAATATTGATCGCTGCTATTCTTCATCAGGCAATGCATCATCCAGACCTCGTTGTGCAATTCTGTAATACAGAATACCCATTGTTGCCATGCAAGCCCTGCACAAGAAAAGGAGGAAAGATGTTAAGTCGACTTGATGTTCATAAAAGAATTGAATGAGAAAAAAAGAGCAACTGTAACTGCAACATTCAATCTCTATTCTGGAATCTCCATGACATTTTGTTGTTCAACTATAAAATTTGATCAAGTCACCACCAGCATTCAGTGATAGACATCATATTGCAATCAAATTCTTATTTCGTTCAGGATAGATCCTTTATACAGCAAGCCAATTGCACATAAGCATGCAAAGAAGAAATAAAAAAGAAAAACAGCCAAGGGAAAACAAAGGCATAGATTACATTATAGCTATAATTAGGAGGAGTTTCCTTGGATCCATCCTTGAAGATCTATGATGTCTTGTGCGACCTTCAGGTACTTCATCTGCATTCGATGTATCTTTTCGCGGTGGTGCAGTCACTGGTAGAGTCGGCAATGCGCTAGACCAGAAAGGTAGCAATGACCTGAGAATCTTATGGCGGAATGTACCTGCAATCAAGATCAGCAAGTTCATTTTACAAAGTTGTTAAAGAAAAAAAAAAAAGAAAAAAAAAATCATGAAATAGCATCTATAGTACAAAAAAGGCAATCATAACAAAATCAATTTTCTAAGATGAAATTTAAAAAATATGAGAAGCCAACTTAGATATTACACTGGCTGAACATAGAGTTTGAGAACTGTTTATAAGGTTGCATATGCAAATCAAGGTTGGACGACATTTATCCCAATTTTGGGCAGTGAATTGGGCTTATCTAACATGTCATTTAGTGTCCTATTTTCCATACAATAAGCCGTTCAAGCCTGGGGCATACAACACTTGATATCAGATGCTATTATCCCCAGAACGCAATGGGCCATGAGAACCAAGCTATTCCTCTCCATATCACAGATGGCATTCATGTATGTCACAGTGAGAGTGAAAAATGATTGGGCATTTAATCTAAGGTTTAATTTATAACCCAAAAATTGGATAGCAAACATCATGAAAAGATCACAGAATGAATGACCTTCACCCACCTCTTCGAGTGTACTTCTTCTGGTTCCCATCTTCATCATCTGCATAATATAAAGCCTCAGAATTTTGCCTCTCAACTTGAACAGCATTTTTTCGTGTCATGGCAACAGGCTGTGTGCAAATAGATCAGAAAACTATACGCAGAAACACACCACGTAGCATATAGAGGCGAACATAGTTAAAATAAAAAATAGAAAAAATAAAGGATTATTCTTACAGCAGTAGGACTTGTGTTTTTCATGAAACTGTGCTCATGATTAGACAGTGATGACGTTGCTGAGGCAGGCCCATCTATCTCCACAATCTCCAAATGTGCAGGATTTGTATAACCAGTCCTGGTAGAAGCCACATCTTTTCCATCAGCAGAGGCATGCATCAGTGGATCTGAAGCAAACGCAGGTGGAGGACTTCGGGGCTCCGTCCCTGGCAATGAAACTGGATGATTCCCAAACAAGTTCTTCTCCAAGCCAGTCTGCGAAAAGAATTGATGTCATATAATATAAAAGGTCACCGAGGCAATTATCCTCCTAGTGGTGAGAAAGAAACACCGCCCTGCAACCCTTCATTTACAACCAAAAAGAACAATAACAGAAAAAGAAAACAGTGAGAAATCGAAGGGAGAGAATGACGAAAAAGCAAATGAAAACATTCACCCACTAGCATGAAAGATGAATTTAGAGGACACAAATTCACGAGAGCAAGAGGCAGAAGAAATTTACAAAGAAACCAAATGTGGTCCATCAAAGCCTTCAAGCAGAACTTGTGTGGTTAACAGCAACTGTTTTGGAACATCTATAACCATAGTTTGGCTCAAGATGCTAAAGGAGTACATCCGTTGAAGCTGCTTTTGGGTACTTAAAGACTTAACCAGAAGGAAAATCAACATCAGAACTCTCACTTGGAAACTGAAGCAAGACTTCCATCATGGAAGATGGAGTGAAGCCAAACTCAGAAAAACCAAGTCGTGTTTGGAAATTCAGTACCACAAACCTCTTGTTTCCCTGTGCATTCCCTCAAATGAAATTCCATGTACAGAAAGGACCGGTAGCTAAGATACACTTCCACTATTCCAATATATATATATATATATATATATAATCTCCGAAGCATCGGTGACATGGCAAACCAATTAATTGGTAAATAAGTTGTATAGAATCACTCCACCCATATTAATTCCCAAGAGGAATACCCAATGACTTTATCTGCTTGAAATATTACATATAGAACCATCTTTCAGAGATTGAATAATCTGATTATATTTACTTAATTGACCAAGCCGTACACAAACTTTTCTCGATATTTATATCCCTGTCCCCAACCAGCTGTAGCAGAAGAGGCCTGGCTTCGAACTGAATATTTGAACTCAGCAGGGAAAGGAAAGAGAATGACTTGGCTAAAGAGGAAGAGAGAAAGAAAGGGAGGACAGAAATCCATGGAGATATCTGTAAAATTCTGTCCAAACCCCATCTGATCTAATTGAAGTAACAATTTAAGAAATATTACCACAGATATGAGAGAATTTTCTGGATTTTAGAAGTATCATACAAAACTATACAAATTTTCAGCTTGACTTGTAAGACAAGAATATAAAGGATAAGTGCAGCATATTAAATAAAGACCCAAAAGGGGCACAATGCATTACAGTGGATGTACATGGTTTCTTTCTTTCTTTTTTTCGATAAGTACAACTGACGGACACATCTATCGTAGTAATCCTACAATCCACATTTCTTTAGAATTGGAGCTAGCATTTCCATAGCCAAATAAGTGAACTGGACGGTCTGGGAAAATTCTCATTCCTAGCCAGCACAAAAGTTGATTTCTAAAACCTTTGCTAGCTGAGTCCGCAGAATTTCCCAAGACTTCTTACTAAATACATTTCCTAAATTAGTTTTGATGATCATTCAAAAAGGTAAGGAGTTCCTAAGCCACCTCATCTGTGATAATGTACTGTCAGCCAAAAATCATCATAAACAATTTAATAACTACATCCAGCAAGTAGGGGAGGAAGGAGAATAGACAAAAACAATCTGCAAGTGTAAGTACAAATATTCGAATAGAAATTGCATCTTCCCAGATTGACCCCGAGGCAGTTCAGCACTATATATTGAACATCAATATACGAAAAGAAAGAAGAAATAGATAGTGATAAAATAATGGAAAGTGACCCATTATGGTTGTGAAGAAGTGATTTCATTAGACTCTCAAGTAGATATAGCAATCAAGTTAAGTAGTAAAAAAGAAGTAATGTGGTGGTCCCCAAATTTATCGAAAAATAAGGAATGGTTTATTTTTGTTGTTTTAGTCGATAATTACAATTTTAACAAATAAAACAAGATGCGAGTTTGCTTTACTTCTGTAAAAAAAAATAATAATAATAATAAATAAAAATGATTTTACCAGCATAATTGCTTCCTTTAGCTTTGAATGAAGATGAGATCCAGAATCTTTGACACTTTTAGGAGGCCATATCTGCAACCAGCAAAGTATTGCTCGTGAGTATGAAACAAAGACAGGCAAAACAGGTTCTACATGTGTTCAAGATAATAAATATGTATGCATCCACAAAAACTCTGATCTTGCACACCATTTGTAAGCATGTTCTAGTGCCATAAGACTGTATTCAGAGCTTACTGCTATATGCCCGTTTTATATCTATAAGGAAAAACCATAACCTTGTGGTGACAAATATTAGGCCAAGTAGAGAGAGAATAAACGAAAGACGAAAGAAAGGCACTTTTCATTTTCTACTATCAAAGGTCTTGGATTTGTTGCAAAGTCGTGATTTAGCTATATCAAACAAATTTTTTTCAATTAGTTTTTCCTTAATTCTGATTGCTCTTAATTTTGGCTATATATAACAGGTCTGGTCTGGTTTTACTTCTCCTTACTCATTGGTATTGAAGGTGCTATCTCCTGGAGGAAGCTCCGATTGATACCATCAATCTCCTACAGAGTTCTGTGTTGATGTGTCAAAGAGAGCAATGTATTGTCCCACAAAGAGGAGCTTTATTCGATGTAAACAATTATCTAAATGGAGCTCCCTATTCATGTAATACCCAGATGGGGACCCTGTATCGATCACATTCTCTCTCAAGGAGGAACTCCATTTTGATGTTATATTCTCCCTGAAGAGGGGCTATCTGTAATGATGTAAAATCCTAAATATGAGTTCAATGCGCTCAATTTCCGAACATAAAATCCTAAAGATATCTCTACAACTTGATTGTTGAAGTTAAATTTTCTTTAGATAGTCATTTAGCATAGTTCAACATTGGATTTTTGGGCTCAAGTTTTTAAGACTATTTTGGAATATGGGTCTCTAATCATGACAAATTTGTAGGTCTTAACAAGGTTGAATATCAGATTCTGATAATTTATTGATCGTCTGTTGCCATTACTAAATCATGGAAGTTCGTTAGCCATATTATCCTTGTTTAATTCAGCTAAACGAGAATAATAATAACTGGAAGTGGCGGTGGGGTGTTATTGAGCTTCTCTTAACCTCTTTACATCTTTCCTTCAATACACCCAAGGTCTTAGCTTGTCCGCTTATTTTGGTAGATTGCTTGTGATAGCTTAGCAATGCAAGAGCCATGGGTCTGTTTCAAAATATTATTAGAAGACAAAGTCGAGGTATTTGACTTAAGATAAGTTGGGAGTTTCACTTTTAATGGATAAATGTACATATTCTCAAGAATGGTTAGGCTAGTAATGAAGTATGGATTTCGGAAATGACAGTTTATCTTCTTATATTTATTTTAGAACAAAGTGTATTGAATTTAGAGGATAGTAATCATGATAACATCTCTACTATTCTCATACGATGAGGTCTGATTTCAAAAACTCATACCCAATCTACAAGGACAGGTTTGTCTATTCATGAATCCCAATTCTGAGATCTCGGGTGTCTTCATTGATATTTCCCAATCAGGTCTTATTAAAGAAATCTTAACCATAATGCTAGAAATGCTTCGTGGTTTTCTAGCACTACATTGGGAAACTGATTAAGCCTTCTCTACAATTAGCACTCAAGATTCAAGACTCTTCACTTCTGTCATTTCCTAACCAACTGCAAACACCGTTTAAACCTCAACCTTCTGAGTGAATTATATCGAGGTCACGGTATGTACATTATTGTAATAAGTTTTGCAAGAAGATACAATTATTTCATTTTACATTCTCAAGAAAACCAGGCTCTTCAGTGTACTTCATCAGCTTCAGCTTTGTGTAAAGAGCCATAAGTTTCATTTTATGTGTTACCAAGATCAAATATTTAAAAAGTTTGCTATTATTTTCTTTTATAACAATGACATTTCAAATACATATAAATTTTAAATATGAAGCACTCGGAAAGAATTTATAAATGGTTTAATTTATAAATAGATTGAAAGTGGTGGATAAGTAGATTGTTCTTGTGGGTCCATTAGAATGTATGGTTGAAAATGAAATTTGACCATTTATAAATTGATTTATAAGTTTGCCAAAAGGAGGCTGAAATTTTCCCAACGACATTGGTAGTGCAAGTTAAAACATTTCCATGACAAATTGGTTTGCCTACTGAACAATAGACATTGGCAACAGAAATTGAATAACTTTTTGAAAGTAGAACATACCGAAGTAGAACAAACTGGACAGACATATCCAGCGGAAGCAGTTTGTGGAGGGAAACTTTTAATATGTGAAACCAAACAATTTGTGTGGATGACATCTGCAAAAAGAAAAAAGGGATAAGACATGCAGGATGAACTTTGATCGATACACGCACATCTCAATCTTTTCAATTCTCTAGAGAGAGAGAGAGAGAGATGATTGATCACGCATATTTCCAATATTCATAAAAATGTGCAAGCATAAATACATACGCAAGCAACCCAATCGAGTAGTCTGAGGATCGCTTCCCTCTTCAAGCACAGCCTGACAATGGCAACATTTAGTAGGCCAATCATACTCTCCATCAATTACCCACTCTGAGTATGTGCGTACCTATAATGCAAGAACAATTCTATTTCAATAAATCCAGACTACTGTGTGTGAGGTTTGTGATACGAATTATAGTAAACTGTACCACACAAATTTGGTGCTCTGGAAAGCATATGCATTGCCCACAAACTGGGACCTTGTGCACGAAACAGTATAGTTTGGTGGCCTGTAACGCAAACCATATAAAGTTATTACTCGTGTTTCAAAGGGAATCAGATCCAATAATCATCTCCCAACCACAAATTGCACAAATTATCGAGCAAATGAATATCAGAAATCAGAAAAACAATCCAATTGACTAACTTAACACCGCATAACAAACAATAGTTATTGTTGGAGATGTCTCCCATAGTATATAACAGCGACCTCGATCTGATCTAAAAATTAGCGAAGTGCAGATTCGAGAGTGAATTAAATCAAATACATAAACTTCGAAAATGCAATTAGCTAGGAGCAACATAAACTTCATATCAGATTAAAAAAAAAAAAATCAAAATTACATAAATCAATTGCTACATCTGTACATATACATGCATAAAAGAGTGATGTATATCTTGTCATACCTTGCGGCATTTACAGACCACCATTGTATGGACCGGATGGAAAAACAGAAAAAACTTGAGATCGAGATTTTCAAGATGAAATTTGATTTACTAGGGTTTTAGCTGAGGTGGATTAAATTAATTAATTGCTCGAATTTAATTCGGTGATGTTGATAAACTTAACAGCGTAAATCAATCTTTTGTTTTTGTTGGATACTTGTGTTTGGGTTATATGATCCACTGTGGACAGATAGAGAAGCGCTGCCTACATACCGATTTGGTCGAATTCGACCCTGAGTCCAATTAGTAATCGCAAGAAGTCGAGTCGAGTCAGCTCGCAAACTCAAGCTCGAGACTTTAATATCGATTTGTAAAAACAAGCTCAAGCTTTTTGGACTCAAGCTAAGTCCAGACTTGGCTCGTCCCCAAAAAATGGGGCTTGACCCAAACTTCATCTCGAGCTTTTGTTGGAGTCGAGTCAGACCGACTTATGAACTTTTCGATTTTTATTTTTTTTGAATATACGAAAAATTAATGATTAATTTACAAATCACAAAATTAGGCATAAAAAGAGGGTTGTAGGAGCCGACATACGTGCTTGCAGGCTGGCCCAGGCCAAAATCTCATTTTTGAGGTTTTGCTTGAACCTAACTCGTAAAAACGAGCTTTGAGTCGGACCGATTAAACTTTTTTCAAGTCGAGTCACGGTTTGCTCATTGCCACCACTAAGTCCAATTGTGTAATATTAATCTTCGAACCTGAATGATAATTCATATGTGCATAACCGATCCTGAGATTTTGGGTATTCTGTGTGACATTTTAAAATGTTGCCCCTTAATGTAATTCAAAAATATATTAAGGCCCTGTTTGAGCTCTCTTATTTTCTCATTAAAATGAAAAATATAACTGTTATCCATCACATCAAGTCACTATATTTGACTTTTTATCTTTTATGTGGGGCTGATAATGATTGTATTTTTCATTTTCATTTTTACAATAATGTCGGTCAAAATGGAGGCTAAGAAAGAAAACATATTTCAATAATATTATTTCATAGAAAAAATATGATATTTAAATATTTGTAGAGCAAGCAACAAAGATTGACAATAGAGTTTCTTCTCTTTTACAATTTTACTTTAACTGTTCTTTGTGGTTTAAAGGATGGAAGAGAGAAGAATAATGCTAGTGAAAAGGGATTTAGATGTTACTTTTAACTCTTTACTTAAATCATTTGAATTTTTGGTTGCTTATTGTCTTACTAGATTGGTTATTGTTAAATGAAGCTAATTGTACATTTGAGATTGGACAAGTATAATAGACAGTTTAAAATTTTTATCTCCTTTTTTTTTTTGTTTAAGCAATATAGTTTTAAATTAAAAATAAATAAATAAATTTGTTTCTACAATACGCTAAAAAAAAAATATTAAAGTAATATATATATATATATATATATATATACACTTTTTCATAAATATTGTGCCATTTAACTTGACATAATAATAAAAATTTAAATTTTCATATTAATAAAACATTTTTTTATATATAACAAATTAATTTTTTGTGCCCCTTGGATGTTGAGGCTCTGTCCGATCACTCAACTTACGTATTCTCAGGGCCGTCTCATCATACATGAACTTTGTTAAAGTAAGATATTAATTTTTCAATAAAAATATATAAAAATTTTAACTCTCTCTCAATTATGTCCTTACCTTTTTCTTGGTTTTATAAATTTAACGGACATTAATCTAATATTTGATTAATATGAATTTCAGACAAAATAACAGATATATTTTTATTCATAAAATTTACAAAAATATTGTTAATCAATTTAAATATAAGGATAAGTACATTGCTCAGATTGTTGGATTGAAGAATCTAGCAAACAATCATATCTGATTTTCAAATATTTGAATTTAGATAGTAGACTTTATGAATAAGGGCTCGAAAATATTTGAGAATTTGACATTAGCTTGGGTATAAAAATTGAATTGAACTAAAAAAATAAAAACCTATTAATTACATGTTAAAATTATAATTTCGATTTCATTAAGATAATATGATAATCGGCCTATTTAACAATGGCGAGTCTACGATCGTATATATATTTTTATTTTACATTTACTTATTCATTTATCTGTCACTCCATCTTTTTATTTTTTTTTATAGATCAATAATAAGACCGACTTTTAAAACACTGATCAACACTCCAAGTGTTGTTACCATAATTTTTTATTGATTCATATTGCTATATTATTGTGTTTATAATCTATTAATGTAGAAACCTGACGTAATCAAGCTATTGATTATCGATCTTAAAGTACAATACAATAGAGATTCATACGTTGCATTTGAAAATAATAAATTGCTCTCAAAAGTATCGGAATATGGACAATTGATGACTCCATCAAGTTCACTATGATCTCCTCCAATGCAAGAATATTGCTAACCATTTACACTTTGTAATTGGTATATACTAAGTTTGGAAATAAGTATATTTGCAATGTTAGTTACGAATTAGTGTTGTCTCTGTACTATCCAATAATTCAAAAATAAAACTATATGGGGCGAAAGACATTTTCTTTTGAAGACATAACGAAAATGTGTGACGACAACGACAATAATAGTAACTTATATATAAATAAAGAAAAGAAAAGGACAAACATCAATTATTAAATGGGACCAAATAATTTTTTTTTATTTTTAACACCAAAATTTTCAAATAATTATAAACTATTTTAATTTTAAATAGATATAAATGAGTAGTGTATACGTGAGCAATACTTTGAATCGTGTGAATAAAAAGTAAGACTGAGTATTTATAAAAAGTTAAAAATGGGAGCCGAGCCTTTATTTGGGAAGAATTATAGACAATTTAATTTATAAAGGTTGAACCCTAATCTTGAAGGCCCCATCATCTTGCCCCTAGAGTTTTGTGAGAGAAGTAAATTGCAGGATGTGACCAAACAGGTCAGGGAATAAGAGTTGTCTGTACAATGCGCCTACAAAGAGTCCATGTCTCAGGAATCGAACTCTCACACTGTGACTATCAGTAAGGCATGAGATAACTTTACTTCTATTCTTGATAATACTGGGTTATGTCTCGAGGGGCCAGTTTAATTTATAAATATATTTGATAATGGAACGCATTTCATGGGACACAATTTTTATCAAATTTTTGATAAAACATTTCATCTCTTTTTGGTTTAACTAAAATCAGATTTAAAATTTTGATAAAAGATAAGTTGAAGGAATATGTGGTGAAAAGTTGATAAAATCGCGAATTTCTATAGTTAAAAATGAATTTTATAGAACATGAAGATCAAACAAATTTCTCTGTTTCAAAATTTTCTTTAGATTTACAACGGAAAACTCCTCATTTGAATTCAAATCCCGGATAGTGGACAGGACTTCTACCTGCATTACCTCTCTTCGCTCTCTACGCATAAAACCCCAGACATTCCACACTCACACAGGTTTTCTCCAAGATCTGATTCAATAGTTTCAGTAACAACACACCGAGCAAAGATCATGACGGCGGTGCCACAATCGACTGGACGGGAGCTGACCAGCCCTCCAACCGATGGCATATCAAATCTCCGGTTTTCAAACCACAGCGACAACTTATTGGTTTCGTCTTGGGATAAGGTTACTTGTTTTTTGCTTCTTTTCTTCTTCTTTTTTCCTTTTTGGATTTTGCATTTTTTTATCTTGATTGTGAATTTTTTGGGTGTTTTTTTAGGAGATTTGATTGTATTTTGATGTGTGCTTGATTAGCAGAGTGTTCGACTGTACGATGCAAGTGCCAATGCACTGAGAGGAGAGTTCATGCACGGAGGTGCTGTGCTTGATTGCTGCTTCCACGACGATTCCTCAGGGTTCACTGCTTGTGCTGACCACACTGTTAGAAGGTTATAGTTGCTGATTCTACTTTTTCTTTGTTTTATTTTTTTAATAGTAGCTCAGTTTAAGTGCTAATTTCCCCCAAACTCATAGTTTTAGTTTCTAATTTAACTGACTGTTTTGGGATGAGTCTTTATTAAGAAGTTGATTCTGGAAAAATGTATACAATACTTGTTTAATGTCATCTGTCTATATGATTGAAGGTGAGGTAATTGTTTGTGTTTGGGTTCGTGATTTTATGATTGTCTCTGAAAATGGCGCTCTTTTTGCTTCAGGCTGGTGTTCAATCATAGCAGGGAGGATATTTTGGGAAGGCATGATGCACCAGTTCGATGTATTGAATACTCATATGCAACCGGTAGGTTTTTATGTTCATGTTTATTGTCGTTATTTTTGTGAAAAGAATTTGATAGAAAATAAAAAATCAAATAAAGGAAATGCATTTGACTAATTGAATTGGTGATCTTAGCATGATATAAACACAGTGCACGAACCCAAAAAAGTGTAAAACTCTTCTGAGAGATAAAACTTATGTTTATAGGAGCACATAAATATATATGGATAAATGGGTATCCATCTGCTTGATACACTTTTTCACTGTCCTTAATTAAAATGGCATATTCTTCCTCTCTTGTCCCGTGTAAAAATAAAACATTAAATATATATTATGGAGGAGGAAGGGTAGTTACCAACAGAAACTTTGACAATGCAGCTATAGGTTTCTTTTCTGAGGATTTTGAAACATTGCAAGTTTTGACACTTTCGCATAGTTATTATTCTCAAATTAGCGTTCCTTTTTTGAAGTTTACCATGATTGGTTGCAAATGCTTGTTCCTTCTGTACATGTGTTATGAATTATCAATATGCATTTCCAACTCTTTTCTTGTAAAAAGTAAAAATAAACAATAAACAATAATAATAAAAATAAATAAAAATCTGCAAGGAGTAGAATCAACACTAGATGGTTGCTTCAATTCCTTCTCATCACTATCATCTGTTTGAGATTGGGTTTTTTCCTTTATTAGATGCAATAGTTCTGTCTATATAATTTACAACATCTGTCTACATTCCAAATTTTGCAGTGTCTAGATAATTTTACTAGTTAACTATTAAACAGTTTACTTCATGTCGCATAATTCTAACAAACTGTTCGTGACGAAATTATGTATATCATATATGTTGATCAAATTCGGTCTATTACATATGTGCCCACACACTCACACGCACTCTTTTAGAATGATGTTTCCATATTTCTTAATTTGTTTCTATATTTCATGATTTTAGGCCAAGTTATTACTGGTAGTTGGGACAAAACCCTGAAGTGTTGGGACCCCAGAGGTTCAAGCGGTCAGGAGCGTTCTCTTATTGGAACATACACACAACCTGAACGTGTTTACTCTTTGTCTCTTGTTGGCAATCGTTTGGTAGTAGCCACTGCTGGAAGACATGTTAATGTGTATGATCTTCGGAACATGAATCAACCTGAACAACGGAGGGAATCGTCACTGAAGTACCAAACCAGATGTGTGCGATGCTATCCCAATGGAACAGGTGCATTTTCCCCATCTTTCTGTGCTTTTGGGCTTGGTGTAGTCTTTGCTTTATCTTGCTTTGCTCGGATGTTCCTGTCGAAAGTGCTTTGTGCTCTATTCTTACTCTATCTTGGCTACTAGTTATGCACGATTTACTTTTCTTATCCAGAATTTCTGAGAGAATCTTGACTATCACTAATATTACTATGTTGAAGAGTTCTGTTTTCTGAAATATTTGGACAACCAAAAATGTGCTGATTGACATAGAATTTTCATAGATAGGATTGTTTGGATAAGAAATGGTTAACTAATAATTTAGAAGTAACTTTATTTAGGGGATTAAATTACATAACTAGTTGTCTTAAGGTTCTAATTTCACTAGCACTCCTCTGGTTACAACTTCCATTTGCAGGTTATGCTCTTAGTTCTGTGGAAGGACGAGTTGCCATGGAGTTTTTTGATCTCTCTGAGGCTGGTCAATCCAAAAAGTATGTATTTGCATCTTGTGAGTGTGTGGACGCAGTTATAAGATGCTTGCGTGATCCTGTTAGCTAAATTGTTCTGTGTTTTAGTGCTAGAACTGCATGACATATTTTCACATCTGGGATACCTTTTTGCTCACTAATTAATTGTAGTTAATATTTTTCATTTCATGAAATTTTCTTCTTAGAATCACATGTTTCTGGAGTTTACTTTAAAGATGTAGAATGGCCTATGATTTTCTAGTTAATGGGTCAGGGAACGAGGCATTTACTGTTTAGATGCGATGCTTATGAGTTTAATGTCTTGCTTAGAAGTTTTGACTGCTGAACTATCTACGGATAGTAAATAGAATTTATCCCAAAACCCAAAGATACAGGTCATTTAAGTTAGAAGATATTCCTGTATTTATGAACTGTTGCCCTACTCATTTGCCTGTGAACCTAAACTACGTCCCTTCTCCTGATGGTTTTAACGTGCAGATATGCATTCAAATGTCATCGTAAATCAGAAGCTGGAAGGGATATTGTGTACCCAGTAAATTCTATTGCGTTTCACCCCATGTAAGTTCCTCTATTGTGATTGGGTATTTGTTCCTAATCCATTCAAGATTGCATTTAATGGGTGTCTAAGAGCAATTAGTTACATCCAAGAAGCAGAAGACATGAAATCCTTGTTGCAGAAAAGTTATAAATAATGCCAAACTGATGGTTGAAATTGTACAGGATCATTCAATATAATATTTGGACGGTCAATATTAGCCTCGAAAAAATGGTAGCTAGTCTGATCACAAATGATTATTAGTAGTGTGAACAAGGAAGATACGAAAACTTTGTGAATCAATGTATCTACTCGTAATCTGTGCATGCTTGGAATGATTACTATATAAAACATGCTCTATGGTCTATTGATTTTATTCTGGAGATCTCTCCAAGCTTGGAAAAGAGTTTAGCACTAAGCAAGTTCAATTGTGTGTGACATTATAGGTTGCAAGCATTTAATTTCAGTCTCATTAGCTTTTTTGTGGATGTTTGCGTGTAGCTATGGTACGTTTGCTACTGGAGGTTGTGATGGTTATGTCAATGTATGGGACGGGAACAACAAGAAGAGGCTGTATCAGGTAATATATTTTAGACCTGATTCTTGATTTCGTATATCTCTATGAAATTTATAGATTCCTAACTATGTTTCTACCTCGAAAATTTGCAGTACCCAAAGTACCCAACAGGCATTGCAGCTTTGTCATTTAGCAGAGATGGGAGATTGTTGGCTGTAGCATCGAGTTATACGTACGAAGAGGGAGACAAACCGTAAGACTCTCTCTCTCTCTCTCTCACACACACACACTGTGCGAGCAAGCGTGTGTTCAGCTAATTGACTTGTTATTTGCTATTGTTTGTTTGCAGCCATGAACCGGATGCTATATTTGTCCGCAGTGTGAATGAAGTTGAAGTCAAACCAAAACCCAAAATGTTGCCCAATCCAGCTACATGAAGGAAAATTTGTTTGACTCAACTAGTTCTGTAATATTTATGAATCATATGTTAGTGTGAACTGTAGTGTGATATAGTTTCTATTGTCATTGTCTCGTTGATTCCTTTCTTGGACAAGCTATTTCTGATCCTCCAATGCCCACTTGAGATTTAATCTGGTGTGAATTAGATCTTTTAAGAAAAAAATAAAAATAAAAAATAAATAAATAAATTAAGAATTTGTCTGTATTTTTTTGATGAAATGTGACAATGGAGGTAATGATTTTGGAAAATCATTGCCAAGATACGTTGAGAAAACTCTGAAGCTGTTGCTAATATGATTTTCTGTGAGATTTTTCATACTGCGCCTGTGTATTTGTAATAAACAGTCTATTCTTACTCGATCAAACTGGTCTGGAATCAATCAGTAGTACATCCTGTGCTTGATTGGCAAAGGAAAGCTAGGGATTTTGAATCTAAAATTTCGACATCAACTGCCCGGTCCTCTATTATTGGTAATGATGCATAATATGAAGGCTTTCTTAGATGCACTCTCCTTACCCTTACCTCATACATGTTTGTGTCAGCTGAGGCTTGCCTGCCTTGGGGGTTGATCCTTTGATATAATCCCCTTCAGAGGAATGGTTAAAACACTTTGCAAAAAAATAAAAGATGATCTATGGATGTAAATAGAAAACCCCATCAAGATTTCATAAGTATGGCTAGGATTAAATAAAGACAATGCTGAAATATATCACAGTTCAGATGGATGTTTTTTCCATTACAGCAATATCCTTTCTTCTACTCTACATTCCCATGTGAAATGTACATAATAAAAAGTAGTTTTGAGTACCATTTTTACCCACTTGAACAGCGGTGGAAACCAACTTGGTTTGCATTATAACTGTAATTGCAAACAATATAGAAAACTGCAGCAAACACATTCCACGACTCGTGGAGTATTACAAGGCAAGAGTTGATCGTGTCTATATATATTCGAGAGTACCGGTTTACTTAAACCCGGAGGGGGCTGCTTGGGGACCTACTCCCGCTGCTCTCCTCATCGCTTTTGACTGTGCAAGCATCTCATCATAATTCTGCCAGGTTGGATGACAATTGGATTTAATATGGGGAAAAGTCGTAAAAATAATAAACAGAGAAATTAGCAAAATATTTACCCGTTTTTCAAATGCATTATCTCTCGAATCAATGATCTTGTCAGCAATGCCATATTCGATTGCCTCCATCGCCTGGAAATATTTTGGACGTTGAACGTCTTTCTCAATTTCTTCCTTTGGTTTCCCAATTCCCTTGGCTAACAGCTCGAGGTAATACTCTGTGTTGGCATCCAGTTCTTTGGCCTGATGGATGGTGAAAGATAAATCACGTGCAATAAATAGTAAAAGGAAGCACACATAAACACAAACTGCACAAACGCGCGCACAGATAGAGGGTGAGAGGACCTTAATCCACATATCTATGACAGCTCCGCTTGATCTGTTCACTTTTGGCAGATATAATTTCGCTGCAATTTTCAAACATGCAGAAAAAATGAGATAAGAAGCAAGGGCGTCATGATTATATATTTACATTTTACAATGCAACACTGCAGCTTAGTTGGTTCAGTTTCATGATGCAATAGCCATTCACTACAATATATTTTGATCGTGCAAAAACATCAAGGCAGTCTAACAAACTTGAGATTCTGTAATTTATAACACCTTAACACGGAAGTTAACTACTAACTTAACGAATCTCACACGATGCACACATTATAAATGGTAACATTTTTGACTTGCCACTGGCATCAACTCAAGATAGTTGCACGTAGAGCATAGTTGTTCCTCTATATGCAGGTAAGTTATATTAGCCAAAGAAAAGTGAAAAAGTTTTTCAATAGGAAAAAATTAAGATAAAAAATTTCAGTAGAATCTTGCTTGCATAGTATTTTTACCTGGACAATAAATTAGCTTCCATACAGGTTCATACATTAGTCAACAACCATCATGAACCCTAGTCCATGAGCCTCTATTAGGATTAGCCAAGACAAATTAGCAAATTAGAGATATATTAACTGAGTTAGTAGAAGGCCTGAATTTTCCCTTCACCCCTTTCCAGAAAGGAAAAGAAGAAAATGCATATAATAATATTTGCAGGAAAGTGCTTCAAAAAACTGATAAGACTTAATCAAACATACAAAGCAAAATACCGTCTGGGCACCATTCCAGTGTGGCTACAATTCTTGATGGTTTTCAAGAGATCAATATGAAAAAACTCTAAAATTTGGTGCTAAGTTTAAGATGGCACAGGGAATCTATCTTGGTGCTTCTGCTTTTCAAAAGCTTCATTCAAAAGTTACAGGATGGAAGAAAGTAGCCACGAGTTATTTGTTTACACATTCATTCAGACGAATGATGAAAGGGTATAGATGACGGAGAGGACTATGAATGAAGTAATTAAAATAGAAAAGTAACATATATTAGGAATAAAAACAAAGCACTAGTAAGAAAAGTATATAGAAGTAAATTTGTTCCACTAAACAGGTAATAACCATAATTCTTTGGATGCGTTAATAATTGTAGAACAGAGTCAGGGTCCAGGAGGAACTAGAAGCATTTTCCCCCTTAAGCTGAGGTGTCAACTGATTTGATCTTCTTCAAGCAAATAGAGATATTCTGAAAGACACTTCAGATAAGTCCATACCTATTTACAGGGACAAAGTTGCTGTGAATTTTCCATATGGATTCATCAAATATCAGGAAAGTAAGTTCATACTAAGTGGTTCACCCCTTGAAGACTTTTAATGGTTTTTATTATAACTATAAAAAAAGAAGAAGGGATAAAAAGATCTCCAAAGTAATGTGATTGGAGATCAATTCATCTTTCCGTAAGATCTACAACTTGTCATGCAGTGACATTTAAGCTCAATTCTCCCAACCCTAAACAGATAACAAACATGGGATAGTCTTCTTTCCTATTGCTAAGAAGCTCCACATCCCAACATGATTTATATTCTCTTCCTGATCTGGAATCCTGGAAAACATTGTATTCAAAGCTCCCCATTACCAATTTCAGCACTTCCTTGTCTTCCAAACATTCCAAAGCCAAATAGAACACTATTAGGTCTTCTATCATCTGAATATTCAAATGGAAGCACTAGTAGTAGGTACCTTTCCAATGGACACCACTAACAGGAAACATTTTATTCTATTATAATTTAGAAACTTAGTCCTCTATCGAATAAGATAAGATGTGCAAGTAGGTTATATACGGTGACAAGACATCCTTCAGATATGATATAACTAGTTGAACTCAATCCTCCGCCTTTCCTACTTCTGTAGGAAGATTCAACAAATAAGCTCAAACCAAGCAACCATCACTAAAGCTTTAAAAAAAAAAAAAAATACAGTAAGTTTTTTCACCTCCTACTGTTCTCAGATATGGATCATAATAGCTATTTCAAACAAATCTGTGACTATGCTACAGTATACTATGCATATCCTGGCAACATGTTTATATACACCCACTACTATAAGCATCCAAACGTGCAAATCACCGTTTTTTTGGTGATTGATAAAAAGCCTGCAATTTGGGATCCAACCATTAAGGATGAACTGATGCAGACATGCATTATGTGCATTCAGAAAGCTTTATTATCAGGATTGTTCCACTTGAATGTATAAAGAACCCATGCTGATATGCAAAGAATTGAATCTTACTAGATGAATTTGGCTGTAACGCACGATAACCTTTAGCTCCAAGTGATAGAAGCATTGCTGCTTGACCATATGCCATGCCACAATTTACCGTATAGACATCTGATTTGCAGTACTTTTGGCAGAATATATACAGAAGACACAAGTTAGACTGAAAAAGGAGTGCTTACGAGATTAACAGAAACCATCAAGACTCGCAAAAAGGTAAGCTACTCCTTTTACTCTCTTTCTTTTTTTAACAAAATCAGAGTACAACATATCTAAGCTTTGAAGAAAATCTGATCCTTAATTTTCTTTTCAGTTAATATCTGCTTTGTAATAAATGGGGCAGGTGCTTACAGCCATGGTGTCAGCAATCGCATAGGCCTCTGTCTCAGATCCAACGGTCTCCATCTTCTCATTCTACACAACGGTACAGGGAAACAAAACGATAGAGATGGGTTCACAGAAATTCGGGGAGAACGATCAAATGAAATCAATTTAATTATTCTAAAGTAGTGAAGATGAAATATACAAAAGCTACATTATGTATAGATGATTCACCTGCGTGCCAGATGAGTTTATGTATAGATATATGGGCTTTGACTGGTTGTCATAATCCAACCACATAAACTGAGCAACAAGAAGCTCAGTTACAGCTGGTACAATCTGCAATCATTTACACAATCAATCAACATGGCAACAGGAATGGGAACATCAGTAGTCGTTAAAATAAAAAAAGGTTGAAGTCTGCTAAGCAAGAGGTGGAAAGCAATGCAATACCGGCATCCCAAGATAGACAATTCGAGCATCTAGAAGCAAGGATGGCAAATCAGGAGGAGCAGTTCTGGGTCTTCCATAACCTCTAGCTCCTCCACGGTACATGCTGACGCTCATGCTATACTTTGAGGGGCCTCTTTCATTCATGCCAGATAGGCTCCACATTCCACCGTTATTTAAATAATTACAGGATGATGAGATGCTTTCCTGACATGGTAGCAAACAGTATAAGGACTTTGAGCTAAAAGTATCACCAATAGTAAACTTTAATTCAACTCACAGAAATGAAGCACCCAGAAATAGGACATGAAAATCCTTCATCATTTTTTCCTATTTTAATTTTTTTACTTTTTTTTCTTTATTTCTTTGTGATAAACCATCACTATCATGACGATACTTACATTGATATTGCATTCAAAAAGGACAAAATCAGAGTAGAAGACAAAACCTTTCAAAACTATAATCATTGAGAGCTTAGGCCCCTATTTGAGTCTCATTTTCAAAAAAAAATAATTTTTTTCCAAACTCAATTTCAACCACACATTCTCACAATAAAATAATATTACACGTAAACCCAAAACTTTTTCTTACTTTATAGGCATATATTCTCCAAAAAAATAAAAAAATAAAAAAAAACTATTACAAAATCTATTTCCTAAAAAATGGGGCTCAAAGCCTAGTTGTGAACAATTAAGATAAGCATGTAAAGAGAGGCAAACCTCAGTGACTTTTTCTGCCTGTCGGCTGACAGGATTATCTTCTGTCATGAACATATCCATCTGCGAAGGAGTAAGACCATAAAGATACTGAGGTGCATTTTTGTAGTTGTTCATCACTACAAAAAAGAAGATGGATCATTTACAGCAAGACAAACGCAAGCCAGGTCAAGCTCAAAAAGTATAACCATTTGACAGTTTAAAAAACGAAAGAAAAGAGATCATAAAACTTAAATATCCTTTTCCATAGATTAATAAATCCAGAATCGCAAAGATTTTTATAGTTTTTTAACTTAATAATTGTCGGAAGAAATGAACAATAAGCTGACTCCTGATGGCCTTTCTTCAAGTTTCACAATAAGAAATGCGGCAAGGTGAATTACAATGTTTTGCCTCAAGCGGCTAAATTAAAAGCAGGCAAGCAGCTTGGTTCTTCTCACTTGAGGTCTGTTGTCTATTATTCAACTACTTGATTTAAAACTTAAGCTATTAGAGGGTGCAAAAGTATATCATTTATATTTTGCCTCAACACACCCATCACGCAGAGTTGTGATTCATTTTTTCCTATTTAAGCCTAACAAATGCACAATTTCATTAAACAGGTGGCAGAGAGAATTGAACTCAGGATGTCAAACCACCTAATCTGTTTAGAGCAGGTAGAAAGGGCCACATAAATATCATTTACATTTTGCCTACAAAATCTATAGAAAACAAAAAGACTCCATTCTTCTACTTTGAGCCTTTTTTCTTTTTTTGCTCCTGTAGTACACCATTTTTAAAAAGTAGCCATACATTATTTCCAAATGACCTTAATGCACTTAACGCTATGACTCTATCCCCTCCACCTAGGCTCCTACAGCTACCAAGGGGGCATTCTGCCTTTCCTCAACTATCATCTACTCAACTTCGAAAGAACTGAAAAGGAAATTCCAAAAATAAAAGAATGAGCTACAACTTCGTCATTAGAAAGTCTAGAACAAGAAAAGAAAAACACTATTGTTGATGGCTTAGTGCGTCATTGACATCAGTCTTTTTATTGGCCAGACAGTGAGATACTTCTTCCACAGATGAATTTGAAGATAGTTCAATATGCTAACACAGTATTTTCACCATCATAAAACATGAGTGACATGTTTGACACGCAATATTGGAGGAACAACTACGCACTACAATGAACAAGAATTTAACTTTTTTCTTCCATAATACTTTCCAATCCTTCCCTAAGGATGCATGCCTAACACATCCATAATCTAGAAAAGCAAATGTCAAAGAAGGCACAAAATTAAAATCTATAATGACTTTCCTTAGCACGGTACTCTAAGATATATCAGTCAAGGGTTCTTTCATAAATTTCCAAAGCCATATGCCTTCAAAAATTCCATTACTTAAAATTATTTTCCCACTTCTGTAAGATTGTGTACATTGTGATTCAATACACAGTATATTATACATAAACACCGACCTTACCATATATATAAACAAGAATGCCAAAACCTCAAAAATTCAAAAAATTAAAAACCCAAAAATGTATCTAACACTCGAAACTGAAATTACAAACACACACACACAAGTTGCCAAAACGCATAAACTGAAAAGTTATAAACCCCAAACCAAGCAAAGCATAAAAAAGGCGGCCAAAGGAAAAACTTACGTCCATCTTTAATATTCTCTTCTCGGAACTGTTTGGGGATGTGGTCAAGTGATTTCTGAGATACTGGGGACTTAAACCCAAATCTCCGAAATGAGCTTTTTCCAGGCTTAGCAGGGAATATGAGCTTCGAACTGTGAAGAAATGAAGAAAAAATATTGCTATTCGTTTCACGATTTTCAAAAGTCCCAGACGAGAGAGGTGAGAGTAACAGAGAAGAACCCGCCATGGGAAATAATTACAGTGCTTTTACGAATAACCAGTATAAAATGATAAAGATGAAGATTTGTCGATGGAGACAGAGAGAGAGGAGAGGTTGAAATTATTATTATTATTTTTTTTTTATTTTTTTTGAGGGGTAAATTGAAAACATTGATAGTCTCTGAACTTGTAGTGTTGTTTCAGTATGACCACTCAAACTTATTTTTATTTCGAATTAGTCACTAGAATTTAATAAATACAGAATACTTACTCTGTGTATTGGAAAATTAAAAGAATTGCTAATTTATATGATGATAATGAAAATTAATGGAATTTCTAATTCGTAAGGCGAAAATGATCCCATTGCTTTAAAATTCATAATGCATTGATTTCATCATTCATATTTATAGAATTTATTCCAACACGAATAGTCTAACTTATTATTACCTTATAAAAACATCTGCTTTTCTTGTTGGAAACTTATGAAAACGTATTCAAATAGCTTTGGCATAGTTTACGAGTATTACTTAGTAGGGACCTAAATACAAGAATGATTTTAGATGACGTCCAATGATTAAAAGAATTTTCTCCATTTGCTCAATTGCTAGTTGGTACCGATGTGCCTTGTAAAAAATTTCATAACAAAATGTTTTTAACGCTTAACTTTTTCTACATTCTGCTTTCTACTTAAGGTTGATTCCAATCTCTCTCACTTCCAATAAGAGGATATGACTTCGGATTGATTTAGTTAATTGTATATTTCTTCTTAAAAATTCTAATACTATTGTGAAATATCACAGAAGATAAATGGTCAAATTAAGCAATGACTGTGACGTAAATATATGTGATAAGTTTTATACGTCTAAAATTAGTGGTAGCCATTCATATTATTTTTTTAGATACTTTTGTATTTATAATTTCTGTTAGTTTATTGTGTATCCATATGATAATTTTAATATAAAAATTGCATAAATATAATTTTCATCTTTCTTCAGCGAACCAATTAACTTTATATAATTTCGAACTCTCATCCAGTAGAACTTTAGGCGATTGCATATCTTACCTATAGTCAGGGCTGACACTAAGTATTAACGAATGTTTTAAATTGCTTTTGTCATTTTCGTATATGGTAAACAATTTCATTTATTTTTAAAAGATAAAAAGCAGACGAAGCTGCTTAAATTGAAAGGAAATTAAACTTTAGTGAAAAAAAAAAAAAATCACCTGATGACCAAAAGTGAAATAACGAAATAGTGACTAAAACCCATTTTTTTATTGGTCTGCTACTATTCAGATTTGGAAAATGGACACACACATATTAATTTATTTTATACTACGACCTTTTTTTTATTTATCGATATTACTACATAATCCCATCCCAGAAGAACCTCTAAAGTACTGTATAAGAAACCTCCCATTTCGAACTCGTAACAATTTTATTTATTTATTTATTTATTTTTATATCCAGGTATCCACCTTACAGTGATTAAATCCTGAAATCTACACCTTGGCCCCTTAAGTTGCAGATAGGTTAAACTGCAGGTTGTGCCCCAAATTGACCAGTGCTCAAGAGCCATCCCAACTGATCTGCAAAAGTGTCAAGCAGGTCGTTTCTCATCTTTGTATCTTGCCTTCCAGTAGAGCTCCTGCCTTCCAGGAGAATATTTGCCTTTTAAGAACCTTCCAGGATTCGAACTCATGACCTCTGATCTGCCAACCTTTTAGCGCCCTCATCTTTGCCAGTTGGGATATGCCCTGAGGGGCTTCGTAACAAATATTCTTCATAGACAAAGGGGTGGCATTAACCCAATGTGTTGAAGATGTGTGTTGAAAATAGTGTAAACTTGATCAATGAAATTTTAGAAGTAAGAAGATGTTCAAAATTATCAAGAAGCTTAAATAAAAGTTTGAATATGAATATATGACCTAGTCAAAATTCAACTTGATTAAGCAAAAGCTTTTATTGGATAGAAGATTTTTTAAAACATAAGAAAAGCTCGTTATTAGTCGAGAGTTATTGAAAGAATTACTTAATCATCTTGAACTCTTCTTCTATTAAGGGAGTGAAAGTTACTTAATTATTTTGAATTCTTCTTTTATTAAGGAGGTGAAAGTTACTTAACCATTTTAAAATATTCTTCTACTAAAAGAGACTAAAGAAAGTTACTTTATCAACTTAAACTCTTCTTAATTTTTCTATAAATAGATGTATTGGTATGTATTTTAAACTATTAGGTAGAAGAGAAATTTCCATGTTTGTATAAGAGAGAAATTTTTTTTTTTTTTTTAATAGAGAATTGTTCTATTGTACTAGTTATATATTGGGTGATTAATGAAAGCTTATTTATTTGAGTGAAAAGTGATATTCTATCACGACTTCTACCCATCAATGTGGAGATTCAAGTTCAAATTGCAATTAATTGCTACTATACAATTTGTAGGAAAATTGATATTACCTAAAATCGAAGATTGTGAGAGATTGGTTGCAGCGAGTTCTTCACTGTGAGTGGCATCCAAATATTAATTCAGTTGAATTATCTTCCAGAAATTTCATCTACAATTGTTACAAGTAATCGTGACAAAATTCTATTCCAACCTAAGTTACTACAATTTTGGATATTCCAATGTATTCCCTGTTGCGAACTCCTATTTTTGGGTCATCTGGAATTGAATTTGATTTGTTGTCCAATATCAGAAATTTCTATTTCTGATAAATTTAATTGCACATGAATTATGACATGATTTTCAATGAATCTAATTGCTGCAATTTTACATATGTGTTGTATCATCATTTTGTGATTTAAATGATATATGCGTATGAATTTTGTCGTGTCTATATACCTATTTATTTGCACCCGAGACTCTGTGATGAATTTGTATGATCGTCCCACAAATAAAAATCGTTGTGACGACAATATATATGTACTATAGTTGATGTTCTTCATATCTGAATAGCTTAATATATTCATCGTTGAAAGATTAAGCTGTCACTGCTTGTTCTATCTATTTATGTGATGTCTTGATTCATATGTGATATCTATGTGGTTGTTATATTTGTTGTTTTGTAATTTCCCAATCTTGTAAGATCTTCATAACGTGCAAATCAAGGACTTTTGGATTGTACCTAGTGGATGTAAGTATCTAGATCTAGTTGATATGATCTCCGTCAAGATGAAAATTGATAGCAACACTGGTGTCTTGAAAATCAAGTAGGAAGTAGATAAAAATATGTTTCTGATTAAGATTACAAATGACATATCATTTCTTTTCTACATAGAGCTGAATAGGAAGAATTCACGTTTAACCACTTATGCACTATGCGTTGAATTTGAAATTTTGAAGAAATCTTGAACCATAATCCTACAGATTGTGAACTTCATTTGGACAACTCATATTCGCCAGTTAGTGTTGAATTGAAACATACACAAATGTATAATGTATTGAGCAGTCACCTTTCACAGCCCTAACGATACATGACTTTGCCTCTAGTATACAGATAACACACGTGTTACCAGATGAAGGAGATGAAGATAACTATGGTAAAGTATCAAGGAACATCAATGAATGTATTGCTGCTCATAAGATTTTCCAAGATAATAATTTGACAACGAAAGCTATGAATGTGATTGATGAAATGGATAAATCGATTCAAGATGATTACAAATTTTGAGAGTTTTTTTTTTTTTTTTTTTTTAATTAAAAGACTTGAAGACCATAATTTGGGAATTTCCTTTTGGCAATATAACTAGGCGAGATGTACCATGTTTGGAGTGATTATAGCCATGAATTGATAAGATGAGAGAAGTATAATTTTGTAGATATCATGTTTACTATTAAAAATGCAATATTTTTTGTTTAAAAAATGTTTAATAGTAGAATATGAGTATCAAAAATATGTGGTGTAATTTCCACTTCAGGGATTTTTCTTCCTCATTCTTGTGGGCCCTTGTACGTGGGCTGTAATAATGAAAAGAAACTTTCCAAATCCACTTTATTTGGGCTGGGCTTAATCAACGTTTGAATACTTGGATAATGAAACTCACAATCAACTCTAATATAGGCCCATATAACATTTTTTTCTGTATCAGTATTTAGTTCGGTGTAAATAAGCATTTTGACGGGAATACCTTTCTGTGATATTTTCTCTGCCATGTCCGCTAAAGACTTGGAAAAGAAACGGATATTCGGCAGGATAGGTTTCACTAAAGTTCATGCCAAAACCCTCTCGATCACTCCTATCGGTTCTATATCCAATTCCTACTGCTAAGGATAAGTAAGTAGGCAAGGGGAGACTTTCTTTTTCTAACTAAAAAAGCATAGGAAAATGGATTCTTCTCGAATTCCTTCAAAGATGCTTTTTTGATTCTTTATAACGAGAAGATTCCAATGGATAAGCCGTAACCGTGGAAGGGACTACTTCCCCTACCACTGTTAAATAACACCCTCTTCCCCTAGCATAGTAAGATTTGATCTCCTTCTCTGATCTATGTTTGGATGTCATCATCTTACCTTGGGTACACGACCATTAGTTGCCTCTCTGAGTTGTTTGATTTTTCGATAGCTTTTACATTTTCAAAATGAAAATAAAAGTTGTAATTACTGGAATAAATTTTTATTACGATAAAACTCGTAAATTTGACTTGTCATTAAATAATAAATAACACCCACCATTTTCTTGTCTTATTCTCTTCGTCCTCAGAGAAATTTTATGGCTTTGATCTTAAAAGTCTCTAAATGTATAAGACTAACAATCATGCTATAAGTACAGAATTTTTTGACTGAAAATCTTTATAGACAATACATGTCGCGATATAGTTGAAAGATGGGAAAAAAGAAACAAAACTGTCTAAACATATTTTGTCACATTAGCATCAGTACATACTCTGTTAAATTTTCCCTGTAATTCAAGCTTTACTCTAAGCTGTCTACGGTCTTCGCAAAGTGTTAAATGCCTTGAATCGACTTGACAAAGTATAATAGGTATAGTTTAAAACTTTGTGAGTTGCGTAAACGAGGTTGATCACAACGAAAAAACAAGAAGGTTGATCTCAGAACGATCATTACTATCCCAATGTCGAGCTCAAATGTTGATTGGAAGGCGACTGATCA